TTGTTCTTTTCTGTCTCAGCACCCGTTCTGATATTGCCCACTCAGCTTTGTGGGTGGAGGAGGGAATCCCTGACGTAGTGCTGCAAGACTAATGGGAGGCCAGAGGGGAGAAAGAGTTAGGGAAGGGAGATCACACTGTGCTTCATGTTACTCTCCCTGTGTCTTGATTTTAGCTGATGATGCACTGAAGCACAGCTGGAGGAAACTCTAAGCCAGAGGCAGCAACCAGGGACTTGTAGGCAAAACCAGCATATAGACAGAAACCTGTACAGTTCTTCCTAAAAACGTGAATTGATCGTAAACATTTAAAAACCAGATTTCATGACAATCCACCATTCTGGCTTCTCTCAAAAAGCAATCATATTTGGTTACACTGAACCACGTTCTTTCATGGCATCCGCCAGCTGGGGCTGAAGGAGCCCAGCTAGCTCTGGTTTGCCAGTTCTCACCACTCCCCATTCATTGCTCTACACCCACCTACTTCACTCCTTTATATCTGCCTGATCCTGTTTGGTGTTTAGGTTTGCTCTGGCTTGTCATTTCTGCTCTAAGTAGAGCTTCTCAAATATTTCCTCTGCAGAACCCATAAGATTCAAGAGTGTGACCCATTTTTCTCCCAGGGTTCCCAGAGCAGCCCAAAGTAGTGTGTCATAAGCCAGAAATGTCTTTGAAGTATCTATTTTATCTTTAGAAATGCACATTTTGATTTACACTGAATAATATATTTGTGTTGGTTTTAGTATAAAAATGATTCCTCTTCCCCTACCAAATCTTAAAAGTAAAATTAACACTCTGGAAGATGTGCCATGCGTATTCTGTGGCTCCAAATAATCCTCACCACATTACCCCAAGAATAACCCAATTTAAGCAGCACAGTATAAGGCATGAGGCAAAGAGATGCATAGGAGAAAAGACATGGAGAAAGAGTCAAGAAGAGGAAAAGAATCTGAAAGACAGTAAGAATGAATCTGAAAAAAAAAAAAAAAAAAGAAAAGAATGAGTCTGAGTGATAAGCTCTCTATCTGGTCCCTCTTGGCCTGGCCCAGTCCAGCTCCTGAGACATTTATAGACATCCCTGATATCTCTGGGCAGGTGCTAGAGTGGTAGTTCAGTGTGGAAAGCAAGACTCAAAACAGGAGCCAGGCCAAGTAAGGGAGAGGTGAGGGCCCAAGGGCAGCCAAGTATGGTCAGACGGGAAAGATTATGTAGGCACCAGGAGAGAGGCTGGGGAAAGGAAATGGGAGACTTAGAAAAGGGCTGATCCGCATTTGCCACTTCCTCTCCAAAATGGTCATATCAGAGTATAAGGAGCAGTCCCAGAGCTTCTTTCCCTGTCTAAATGGGACTTTACCCATTCTCTCCAAGATATGAAAGACCTCAAATCTGCATCTGAACTTAAGTGGGTTTTTTTCCTCCTCTTTTAGTAAGACAAAGTCAGGTCCAACTAACTCCCTCCTGTTCTAGTACGGTCAATGTTGCCCTGAGTGTAACAAATAATGTTAGAGACAGGACTTGGATGTTTCCCCCTTTCTCTGCTGTACACCAAGAGAAATGGAATCACAGGATGGGGATCATTCAGGGAGGGCCAGGGGAGCATAGCCCACAGCTGAGGATCCTAGGGGGAGGGGCAGTTTGAGCATGGAGAATAGTCCCAGACTCTGACATGCGGACACAGCCCCTCCCTGCATTGGTCAGGATCGGATCTGAGGAATCTCTGGATTCCTTCCCCAACATCTTGGCTGCCCAGGGTGATCCCCTAGCCTCTCAGGTCTTGCAGTTAGGGTTGGATCAGTATCCTCCCAATGAGTCCCATTAGGATTGCGAGGGAACCTCCCTTCCCTTCTACATACAAAGAGACAAATTAAAGCTTGTTGGCTATAAGGCAAAGGACTTTCTGAGGTGATACCAGGAAACTAGAAGAGTTTATTTCCAGCTTTGTGGTCCCAAACGACTTAGGGGAAAAGGTGGGTCTCAGTAGGGGAAAGGTCAGTGGAGAAGATGCTACTTATTTGGCTAGATTAGCTAACTGAGCCAATCCTGTCTAGTTTATTTCTGTTCTCTGTCCTCTGGCCAGACATGATATGAGGGGAAATGGAGAGGACTTGCCTCTCCAGCCCCTTCCTCAGTCAGAAATCCACTGGTGGCTTGCTTGATTTGAGTCCTGCAGACTTGCAGAATGTGACCTTGAAACTCTCTTGCAGGGGTTGTCTCCTTTCTTGCTAGTTGGTGAATTGTTGATCTTCCTGTTGATTGAGCTGAAGCAGGTTCTTGGAAACGACTGGCCAAACGCCTGAGGTATCTTTAGTAGCCTGCCTGGGCTGAAAATAAGGTGGGGAAATTCAGCGGATGGAATGAGTTCAGCAAAATCTGGACACATTCTGCCTTTGTTCTCAGAACCATTTGTATGTACTCTTAGAGGCGGATCAACATGAGCCCTACTGTGTGAGAGCTAGAAGGGTTCCTAGTGGACATCCAATCTAAATTCATGTTTCACACACAAGGAAATTGAGATGTGGAGACTTTACATGACTTTCCCAAGGGCACAAAGTATGGAGTGGTGAAACTAGGACCATAAGACAGTGTTTTGCCCAATTAAGATGGAGGCTCTCCTTCCCCTTGGTTAGTCCATAACCAGCCTATGCCTACAGGCCACCCTTTCTTCCATTCAAAATTCAGCAATAAAATAAATTGAGGAAAAGAACTATCTTTTCCTTAACAACCCATACCTGCCCAATCACCTTAACCATTAGACCTCTGACCCTCCAATTTTCTTTGGCCTCTACTCCCAATCTAAACGGCATGTTGCATCCAGGTCTGCCATTCAGCCTCCCTCAAGCCACTTGAGTCACTGTGCCAGTTTCCAGATCCCGCTCTCAAGCTGCCTGCCCAAGGTGGGAGGGGAGGCTAGGGATCGACTATAGGGTAGGGAAGGAGAGGATTCTTGCCAGAGAACCTACCCTGCCAGGGGCCAGTGCAGCCCAGGCTGTGGGCATGGGAGCAATCTATTCAGTATAAACAGGCCCTAGCAGGCGAGCAGTACAGGGCTGAGCAAGCACTGCGTGGGTGGGTCCTCTGTAAATACTTGTAAGCAGAGCCCTGACCCTAACCTCTCAGATGGTCCTCCAGAGAGAATAGGAGCCTGATCCTGTTTACTAGGTCTTAGGCTTCAGCCTTAGCCTGCCTGATAGTACCTATGGAAAGTAGGGGAAAGGTCGATGGAACAGTCTAGCTCATACCTGGAACCACTCCAGAATCTGAGAAAGCTGCTGTGTCCTGGGTCTCTGGCTTTGTCCAGCAAGGTCACCTGCCAGACGGGGCAGAGTCCAAGAATAGTCTGATCTTGCTGACACTTTGTCTTTGAGGCAGTACAACTGATCCCAAGTGGTCACCCCAACCTTTGTCCTCCTTTCCCCAGTTTCATGGGAAAAGGATGTTTGTGTGTAGAGGTGGGGGTAGGGGTGTGGCTTCAGTCCTCCTCTACTGCTGCTTTTCCAGAATCTTGTTTGTTCTCACTCTTTTGTGTTCCCAGGTTGACATAATGTGGGATTTAGGGAGTGGCTGTGCCAATATAGACACAGACATAGTTGACCAGGTTAGGACTGGTATGTATATGTACAGGAGGAAGATAAAAGGAAAATTTTCTGTGTCTTGTTTTTTGCTATTTCTTCCTAGCCACAATCACAGGCTCAAGTATAATTATGGGGAACCCCAGTGACAGATCCCCTGTCCCCTTCCCCCTACTCCACTCACTTAACATCTCAGAGAGATAAAAAAGGAAACATCAATCATCACAAATTGCCCAGTAACTCTGGAATGTTCTCCTTCTATTCCTGTTTCCTTCTCTGTCTTCTTGGCTGCTTCTATCTTAACACTTACTAACGAACCCAAACTAGGCTTTTAAGCTGCTTTCCCTCAATGGAGTCACAGCCCCTTTTCATTCTTTACAATGAGGTCAGGAACATCCAACCTCAGATTGCCAGTCTCTGTCACTTGATGCTGTAGGAAATTCGGTCAGTCTGCCTGAATGCAGTTAAGGAATTTCTTGAAGGTTCTCCTACATCTCATCTTATGCCTTTCAAATGCTCAGTAGGGTCACTATGATAGCATCACAGATATCTGTGCAAGCTTCCTTATTCAGTTCCTATTCTGGACACGCAGCTCACCCGTGACTGTTGCATGTCAAGTGGCTGGAACCAATCAGCTCATCTAAGGCTTCCTTAGAAGCCAATCAGAGCCTAGGGAAGTGACCTCACCCAAGGGAGAGCTGTGTGGGCGAGAAAGCATCTCTCAGAGCCGTGAGTGTCCCTAAGTCACTCCCCTCCTCCTCACCCTCCTTACTTCCTGTAAAACAACACCGCCTACCCCCACACCCTAAAGAAAGGGAGTGAGAAAAGCTAACTAAATTCCACAAAGGGAAGAACCAAAAGAGAAGCTGCAACTCAGCCACACACTGATTTCTGCAAGTAGAGAATAGGATATTTAGGGGGCTCCTTTTGCGCAGATATATCTTTCAAAATGGGGTCTCCAAGGCCTGAAAGAGGGACTATGCTGAATAAGAGTTGGCTCCTCCTACTGACTCCCTCCCTGCACCTGGCTTTCTTGACTCTCCCCACAAAAATAGCTGTAATCATTCTTTGTAAATAAGGACAAGATCAAGGTCAAATGTGGGAAAGAGAGGGCCTGTGTCCTTGTGAACATGTGAGAACAGAGGCAATCATGTCCCTGTGGCCTAAAGGACCAGAGGCTCAGAAGCCAGTGGGTCTGCAGGGAGCATGGGCTGTTCTTCTCTCCAACTGACTCTGCATAGCCCTGCAGATTAGGTCCTGAATGTTCCATGGCAGGGTTAGATTTCAGGTATATTTCCCACCATGGGCATAAGAGGGAAGGAACAAAGGACAAGAGGCTAAACCCTCCAGAGTGTGTCACACTGGACTCTGCTCAGCTAGGCATCCCCTTCATCTCTCCAGCCCTTTCCCACCAGGCCACATCCTGGACAGAGAGACAGATAAAAACGCTTTATTTAAAAATATAAAACTGGCCTTACTCCTCCTAACTGCTCCCACCCCCAATCATCTCCACAAAGAGCTGTAAAAATTAGGAAGGAGTATGTGTGCAGTGGTCTCAGCTCTAACAACCCCAGTTCTTTCTACTCCCTTCATACAATTGAGACATTTGTTCTTTGCACCTTCCCCAAGATATGAGAGGTGCTACAAAAGTGGAAGGAAGGAAGGGTAGAAAAGAGGCTGTCATGACTCTCTATTCCTATCTCTAGGAACCAAACAAGTTATCTGAACTCTGACTAAATGATTTGTTTGTCCACAAAACCAAATAATAGGGACAGTTACTCTCTGTATCCCCAAATCAAGAAAGATATGTGGGTCCAGGGTGTTGTTTGGGGTCCTTTCTTCAGTATATAGCCTCATCCATATTGTCATCACTGTCACCTCCAAAGTCCTCTCCATTGTCAAAATATGACATAATATAATCAGTTTCCTGAAATGGAAAAAAAGAAGTAGGAGTTAGGTCTGCTTTTGGCATTCTCCTTCCTCCCTGTGCACCAGGCCCCTTCCCTCATGATCATACCATACCAGGCCTGGATATCCCTTCCGGTTGTAGTTCATTTCTGAGAAGAGCCCGGGGACAGATGAAGTGGATGGAAGCCCCTACTTTTGGGGGCACTATCTCCTTTGGCCCCCAAACCCTCTGAGGAGTACACCCCTGATGTAAAGAACTGAGATCCCGGGGCCGGGTTTTGTGGCTCACGCCTGTAATCCTAGCACTCTGGGAGGCTGAGGCGGGCGGATTGTTTGAGCTCAGGAGTTAGAAACCAGCCTGAGCAAGAGCGAGACCCCCGTCTCTACTAAAAATAGAAAGAAATTAATTGGACAACTAAAAATATATAGAAAAAATTAGCCGGGCATGGTGGCGCATGCCTGTAGTCCCAGCTACTTGGGAGGCTGAGGCAGTAGGATTGCTTGATCCCAGGAGTTTGAGGTTGCTGTGAGCTAGGCTGACGCCACGGCACTCACTCTAGCCCGGGCAAAAGAGTGAGACTCTGTCTCAAAAAAAAAAAAGAACTGAGATCCCTAAAGCTTATGAGGGGAAGAGAGGGGGGCTAAGGCGGAAGGAAAGCCCCTTCACCTCTTCATGTTCTTCTTCATCATACTCTTCTTCTTCTTCCTCTTCTTTCTCTTCTTCTTCTTCTTTCTCCTCATCTTCCTCTGAAGTCACTTCTTCTTCCTTCTTCTCCAGGGTCTCATGTGAAGATAAATAGGAAGAGAAACTCAGATTCAGCTCACAGTAGGGAAAAATTGAAGAACACATGGGGACAAAGAGAGAAGGAATGGATCTAGGTCTCAGGAGGTCTCTATGCACACTTTCTCCTCACCTCTAGTTTCTGTATTGTTTCCTCTTTATCTTCTGTGTTCTTAGGGGGCCTCTTGGGGAGTAGAATGGTGATCCCTGGTGGGGGGATCAAAAGGTGAACCATCAGAGAGTAAATCTTGCCAGCTTTCTACCCAACCCTCCTGCAGAGAATGTGTCACTCTGCTGCCCTCATGTGGCCACTGTGGCATCCAGCAACAACACTTGGTAGATTGGGTAGGAATTGGGAGGACAGGTGAGACCACCAGCCGACTTGGCCCTCCAGCAGACAGAGGAAACTTCTACTCTCTACTTCTTGTTTCCAGATAACACTCACGCTCCTTCTGTAGCTTCCGCACTCGGATCTTTAGCTCCCGGGGTAGACGCCGCCAATCTGGGAATAGTGGGAATGTGAATGTCAACAGGACCCTACCGGGGGTCTCCCATGAATGATGACTGGTTTTATTTAAAGGAGAGGTGAGGGTTTTAATAGAGAGGAAGGAAGGGGTTGGGTCGAAGTTGCTGAGAACAAAATTGTGGCTTAGATGCCTCCTGCAGAATGGGAGTTATTTAATAGGTTTTTCAGGTAGAGTCTGAGAGTATTTCAGAAGATAACTAAGGCTCTTATTTGCAGACAATGGATGGGGGAGAAGGATGGAAACACCCGGAGTGGTGGTAGAGGCTTGAGGCAACTCAAGCATTTGAAAGAAGGGCAGTCAACGAAAGGGCCAATCACCTACCAGGGTTCCAATCGATGGCATTGTCAATCGGCCCTGACATCTGATATTTGTCTGAGTAACGCTCCACATCTGAGGGGTCAGAGGTCAAGAGTCAAAATTTTATCCCTTGAGAGCCCTGGAACAGGGTTTCTGAGGGTCCAGCCCTCTTAATTATCAGGAATTATCTGTCTCCTCACCCCAAACCCACAGCCCAGGGAGTCAGCTGAAGTGAGGACCTTATCACTCTTCTTTTTTTATTTTTGGAGACAGGGTCTTGTTCTGTTGCCCAGGCTGGAGCACAGTGGCATCATCATCACTACAGCTTCAAACTCATGGGCTCAAGCAATCCTCCCACCTCAGCCTCCCAAGTAACCCTCATCATTCTTCTAACCTGCCCTCTTGCCACCCAAAACTATGATGATACTTTTTCTCTCTTATCTCAAAGGCATAGCCATATTGAGTAGTGTGTTGCAGTGGAAAGTATACCAGGGAACAACAAAATAGGGTTTTAGGCTTCTCTTTGCTCTTTGTTAACAGGTTAACTTAGGTAAGTCTTTTATCTCTCTAAGCCTCAGCTTCTAGGGCCTTAGTAGGAAGGCACCAGTTGTCAATATACTGAAATACTGTACTTCCGCACTAGTTGGTAAATGTCCACTGTCCCAAGCTTCCCAATCGTGTTCCTTTCCTCCAGTCCCTCCTGGTCTCCCCAACCTCCCCATGACCCACTAACCAAAGCGTTAATACTTTACTTAGAAGGGGTTCTCAGAGACCAGGCACCAGCCCCCTTCTGATGGGTTGGTGCTCCAGATAGTAAAAATTTTTAATACATCCTCCCATTTATATGTGTGAAATGAGATCTTAATACTTAACCTTCCACTGTCCCGAGACTATTGTGAGACTCAAAACAAACCATGAATACTATAATGCATTTCAGATGCAGGAGTCATTATCATCACCCCCCAGTTAGTGCACTTCCTGGGCCTCTCTGGCCCCCAGTAGTGCTGAGCACAGGGCACTGCCCACGGGAGGCACTCAGAACATGATGCCAGCATTTCAACTGACCTCTTTTGGGGACAGCTGGCCGGATGAAATAGGGGAGCTGCTTCATGGCTCCTCGTAGCTCCTGCTTCAGTGCTAGGACATATTCCCCTTCCTCTCCTGAGGGCAGAGGCACTGGGCGGAATTCCAAGGGCTAAAGAGGCAAGGAGCAGTGGTCACTTCAGGGAGAAAACACTGAGTACAAATCTGGGAGGGCCTCTCCTCCCGATTTAATCCAATGCTCCCACTAAGCAGAGGGTCAAAATGAGAACTGGGGAGGCAACATAGCATTCTGAAAGCTGGGGACCCAGGAATGTGAGAAGTAAGGGTAAGACACTTCTTTCCCTGGAAAACATCCCTTGTGAGTTGGGAGTATAGAGACAGGGAGGGGCAAGATGAAGATGGTTTTATGATGGTTCAAAAGAAATCCAGGATCATAAACAGTCATCAAGGGGTACATGGAAGTCTTTGGAAGGGAGAGGAGACACTCACAGGGAAGAGTGGAGAAGGCTGCAGGGTGGGTGGGGGCAAAGCATCCCCCTTCCCAATGCCCACGGCTTCCATGTTGAAGGTCAACTGGCCCCGGCCACGGCCCCGGCTCCCACTCCGGCTGGCCATGGTGGACAGCACGTGGGTATTTAGAAATCCAGCAAGAAAAACCTAATAAAGACAAGAACAAAGAGAAAAAGAAGTACAGTTGAATGAACAGGAAACCAAGGAAGTACAAGACACTCAATTATCTCTCCCTGGGACTTGAAAAGCCAATATTATTCTATTAATTTTGACTGATAAGGCATAGTACCAGACAGGGAATTTCTTTTTTCTGTTTTTTTTTTTTGAGACAGAGTCTCACTCTGTTGCCTGGGTAGAGTGCAGTGGCGTCATTATAGCTCACTGCAACCTCAAACTCCTGGGCTTAAGCAATCCTCCTGCCTCAGCCTCCCCAGTAGCTGGGACTATAGGCACGTGCCACCAGGCCCAGCTAATTTTTTCTATTTTTGGTGGAGATGGGGTCTCATTCTTGCTCAGGCTGGTCTTGTACTCTTGATCCTCCCGCCTCCGCCTCCTAGAGTGCTGGCATACAGGCATGAGCCACTGCACCCAGCACCAGTCAGGGAATTTCTGAAAATATAAATGTGGATGAGACATGGTTCCAACAGGACAGATAATTGCAATATAGTGTAATTGCAGCACAAAAGAGAAAGTGATTAGATCCTTAGATAAAACTTTTTTACATCCCTAAGACAATCTGATGGTTATCACCATCTGATTTCTACATATTAATATAATCTTTAAATTCTTTCTCTCCCTGGATTTCCAAACCCAACCAGGCTCCAGTTCAATCCAATGCAATGTGTTTCAGCAAAACATTTATTAATATTAAGTGTCTAACAAGAAAAAGATAGTAAGCCAGGCACTGTGGGAGCACAAGGATGAATCACCAGTTTCATTGTCAACCAGGGGAAAAGAGACATTACAATCAAATTGTTCTTTTAAAACGGCACTTGGAAGCACAGAATTTTAGAATTGAGAGGACTCTTGGAGATCATCTAGTCCAAACCCCCTCCCAGTGCAGGATTCTACTCTGTAAATTGTTAGTTATATAGCTTATAGTGGCATTTTCCTAAAGACAAGTGTCCATTCTCCCCCAAGATAGCCCATTGTACTGTGATCAACTCTGATGAATAGAAAGTTCCCTCCTTCCACTGAACTGAATTCTGTCTTTTGTCATCAATTATGCCAGTCAGAGGCAGCTAAGATGGGGGATAAAATCAACAAATTAAAATGAAACTTGAAAGAAATGACACTCCAGTAGCAATGAGCACACCTATCACCCAGATCTTGGTTTCTAATACCATTTTCCAATAAAAGGAACCAGGGCTCCTTAGAGAAATGGTTGATTCTAAGACAGGGTAGGAAATATACAAGATGAGCCTGGACCATGTTGAGTCACCAAAAAATAAAAAAGTGTTCATAACAACAACAACCACACTCACATATTGATGGGACTATGTCAAAGGGCATACAAGCCAATTGAAAGAGCTCCCAATGTCCAAAACTGGAATAATTTGAGCAAAAAAATAAATAAAATAGTATTGAATTATAACCTGAAAGTATGAGATAAATATTCACAAATCCATAGTGATATAAATAAATGACTGAATTAATACATGGGGAAGAAAAGATATATCACTCATGCAGAATTCCAAATAAATTATGTAGATACTCCACTCTAAAGCAGGAGCATAACTATCCACTTCTTAAGTGTGGACTGTATATAGAATTTTGTCCAATACAATTTTGGAAATCAGAGAGGGAGATTTACAGTAGAGAGACTGGACAAACACTACTTTAGCCAGGTGACGAAGGTCAACATCAACAGTCACAAATTATATTGATAGTTTGTACTCTTAATATTACATGATGAAATGGTATTTCACCTCTGTGATCATCCTCCCAAAAACACATAACCCCAGCCTAATAATGAGAAAAATATCAGACAAATTCCAACAGAGGGGTATCCGACAATACACCTCACTCCTCAAAACTGTCAAGGTCATCAAAAACAGGAAAGTCTGAGAAACTGTCGCATTTAAGAGGAGCCTAAGGAGACATGACAACTAAGTATAATGTGGTAGTCTAGATAGGATCCAGGTACAGGAAAAGAGCATTAGGTAAAAATCAAAGAAATCTGAATCAAGTATGAACCTTACTTAATAATAATGTATCAGTATTGGTTCATTAATTGTAACAAATGTACTATACTAATATATAATGGTAATAATAGGGGAAACTGTGCCAGAGATCTATGGGAATTCTTGGTATTATCTGCTCAATCTTTCTGTAAATCTAAAATTGTTCTAAAAAATAAATCTATTTTAATAAAAAAAGAAATGAGTAGCAATTCAAAACTCACAAAATATTAGTTGGTGGAAAAAAGATTTTAAGATAATATGTATGTACAAGGTAATCTATTTTGTCAAAAATACAAACACACACATATACATTAAAAAGCTGTTCTTGAAGGATATACACAAAAAATTAAAATGGTTAATTTGAGGTGATGGAGTTTTTCTGAGGATTTTTTTTTTTTTTGGTTATGCTTATTTTAGGGTTTTTTTCTATACCGAATAGATACAGCTATTGTAATAAGAGAAGAATATTCACTTAAAATTTTTAAAATATGGTGATAAAATAGTAGATGAGACTAATAATCTGTAAGTAGAAAGAGAGAGTAGAAAAATGTATATCTGAGGAATGTGGAAAGTCTCAAGTCTAAGTGCCATGAAAAATTTGAGAAAAAATGGCGGTTGGTTAACAGATTAAACTGTGACTTATTTGAAAAGAACAAAATAGGGGAGACAGGAGGTCTCGTGGAAATTAGAGAAAGAGTAAGAATTTGTAATCATGTCCTTAGTCCCTTTCAAGGGAAAAGACACTCTAATCATCTGGCTTGGGTATCTTTCCACTTGACAGATACAGTTCTAGCAGTGAAGATAGGAGCTGTTTTGATTGCAAAGCAGAGAGGAGTTAAGAAAAGGCCATGAGCTTTGAGGTTATACAAATCCAACTCCATTTCTACATATTAACACATTAACACATTAACTACCATATGAGTTGTATTTACTTTTTTTTTTTTTTTTTGACAGTCTTGCTCTGTTGCCTGGGCTAGAGTACTGTGGCATCAGCCTAGCTCACAGCAACCTCAAACTCCTGGGCTCAATCGATCCTACTGTCTTAGCCTCCCGAGTAGCTGGGACTACAGGCATGCACCACCATGCCCGGCTAATTTCTTTTCTATATATTTTTAGTTGTCCTGCTAATTTCTTTCTATTTTTAGTAGAGATGGGGTCTCACTCTTGCTCAGGCTGATCTTGAACTCCTGACCTTGAGTGATTCTCCCGCCTTGGCCTCCCAGAGTGCTAGGATTACAGGTGTGAGCCACCGCGCCCAGCGACTCTGAATTCTTGAGTATAATAATCTGGCCCCAATCTGCTCCTCCTTAACATCAACCTTCCCTGGTGTTCACCCTGCATTCTGCTTTCCCTCCGACAACATCTCACATACGGTATACTCATTCCCAATTATGCATACCTGTGTAGTGTGGTAAAAGTTACTACGAAGCAGGTTTCAACAAAACATATAGAAAAACACCAATGATTATATCAAATTTAAGGAAGCCAGTACTTGTAGTGGTTAAGAACATGGATTTGAATCCCCGTTCTGTCATTTCCTAGCTACATAAACTTTGGCAATTTATTTATTGTAAATTGTTTCCTAAACCTGTTTCCTCATCTGTAAATTGAGAATAATAATAATACCACCACCTTCACTCACTCAGCAAATACACATTAAGCGCTTACTATGTGCCAGGCACTTTTCCAGATGCCAGTGATTAAAGCAGTGAGCAAAATGGACAAAAAACTGCTGTACCCATGGCCTTCAAATGGAGCTTACTTTCTAGTGGAGTCATCAGCATACAAACAATATTTCAAGTCATGAAACTAGGTGAGATCCCTAAAGGTGTGGATGTGGACAGAATAAAAGGAAATACAGAGACTGAGAACTGGGGCACTCTAATATTTAGAGTTTACTATATTTGTAATAAATAAAACAAGAAGGTAATACTCATATATTAGAATACTTGGGAAAAATAATCATCCCAATAGAAAAAAATGGGCAAAAGACATGAACAGGCAATAGACAAAAGAATGGCCAATAAAACCACTCTTCACCTATCAAATTGACATTGATTGAAATAATAATTAGGCTGTCATGAATTTTTTTCAGATGGAAACTCTTATACGCTACTGGAAAACTAAAAACAGAATCTTTCGAGGGGAGCAGTTTGACCACTGCAATCAAGCTTTTAGATGTTTATATCCTTAATCCAGTAATCCTACTTTAAAAATCTATCCCAAAGAAATCATCAGATATACACGCAGAGATGTAAGTACAGGGATGTTCATCAAAGAGCTATTTACCGTAGCAAAAATTCTGAAATAACCAAAATGGTCCTACAAAAAATGAATGGTTAAAAAAATCAAATCTCCATTTTAGACTATTATGAAGCCATAAAAAGCATGATTCCAAATAATATTTAAAGGCAGAAAAATGTTCACGATATAATATAGAGTGGGGGAAACATAATATAAAATTGTATTTATTACATGGCCCTATTTATGTATGCGATACACATGTGTATACGTATATACACACAGAGAAAAGAAACTGAAAGGATACCTGTCAAAATATGAATAATAGTTATCACTACATCATGGTGATGAATAATAGGCATTTTTTATATCTTTATGTGTTTCTAAATTTTCCAAAATAAATATTATTACTTCTATAATCAGAAAACAAAAGAGATGGTTTGCTTTTAAGAATACTATCACTAGGACAGATTTCCCTCTTTTACAATGGAAGTGTGAAATGCATTTCATTGAGCTATATATTTCTTATTTAGAATATCTGTTGGATATTGACTGAAGAATAAATACTCAAAAATGGAAAGACCTGCAAAGAGAGACAGGGAGTTCCCTTACTAAAGATGTTTATGTGGAAGCTGGAACAATTTATTAAATAGAGTTTATCACAGGAAGCATGCATGGCTAGAGGATTCACTATGATCCCTATTGTCTAGCATTGTGTCTGGTATTAATAGGTGCCCAATAAATATTTGTTGAGTGAATGAATAAATAAATACATGATTTCTATGGTCCTTTTCAAACTTGAGACCTTGTGATTCATAAAGCCACCCCTCACCATTCCAGTTCTACTCACTTTCTTTCTTCTCTAGACTGTGGGAACAATTACCAAACACTAATATTACGAACCACTAATTTAAGGGCCCTTAATTATACAGTGTATTGTCTTTTATTGTTCCCTAATTACGTTAGGAGTTTAAATTCTGCCTCCTCAACAAGAGCACTAGTTCCCGGAAATCAATTCCGTTTAGTTAACGCTTATTGGGCACTATGTATTAAGTATCAGAACCTGCCCAACAAAACCTTATATTCTAAAAAGCATAGAAACATTCAGGGAGCGCGCACTCAGTGTTCTAATAGAGGTATACGTAAAATGCTATCGTCGGACGGGGAAACAATTAATTTTGCAAGAACGTCAATCCAGGAAAGCTACAGGTAGAACGTAATATTTCAGCTGAGTCCTGATAGCTAATAGGAGAATGTCAGGCTCCTAGGGGGATAATATTAATAGATTCGGGGGAGGCTGATGACATAGCAAAGAGTCGGAGGTACAAGAGTGAGTCTTTCTCACTTTCTGCTTTAATACGTCTCTCCGTTGCACGATAGAAAACTACGGTTTTCAATACAGCAATGGGAGCCCAGGGTAGAAAGAGTAGAGAGCCAGAAGGGGGCTGATCCAACAGGCAGCTGGAAAGTGTTGTCTATTTTGCAGCCTGGCCCGGCAAGTGTGGTACTGAACCAGGTCAGAGCCACCAGGTGGGAGCCTTACCTGCTGCCCCTCCCCCACGCGGAGCCCAAGCCGCGGCCAACTTGAAATTTGCTTGTCTTCCTTAAGCCGCAGGCGTTCTAGGCCCGCCTCCCCAAGCTCCCTATTGGTGGGTTCTCCCGGCCAATCTAGGAAAAGCCGAGGAGAGAGGTCCCCGCCCCCTTGAAGCTTGGAACTAGAAGAGGGGGGAGCGAGTCAGCCTGAACCGTGGCTTGGGAAGCCGGGCGCAGAGAGATGTGGCTGCAGAATCACCAGGGGTCAGTTATTTCCGACCTCACCCCAGATGGAGGAGCTCCTGGCCAGCGAGAGTTCACAGAGAGAACCTGACGCTCAGATCTCTTCGAGGGACTCTGTTTAGGGAGCCCCCACAGAGAAGCCAAAGGAGGAGAGCTCCTACAGAGAAATGAACCCCTATCAAAGCTGCACTTTAGGGATGAGTCTTTTCGTGACTCTGGCTTCACAGCTTGGCCTCTCCTCTATTACTCCAATCTTCCTTTCAATCCTACATTGCCTCCCTCCAGCACCACCAATGGATATTTCTTTTCTAAAAATGTTTTTATGTAGGTTGCTGCCGTGTCTATGAGAAGGTGGGCAGAGGGTTTGGGGAAGGAAGGATTGAGGATCAGAGTTCCAAGGTTAGGGAGGCTGGGCAGGAGCCTAGTGTTTTCTGAATGTTCCACTGCCTTCCGGCTCTAAGCCCTTTGGTAAAGGAGGACAGGGTGAAAGGAATCGTCTTACTTTCACAGAAAATAGGAAAAGGGAAAGAGTTCAGAGTGAAGATAAAATCTAGAAGTTACTCAAGAAGACTATCTCAGATGTCAGAGAAAATGGCTTCTAGACTGGGAGGCTGTAGGTTCAGTGGCAAGTGCCCAGTCTTTGGAATGGGACAGAAACATAGCTGTGAAGCTCTGGAGAACTTGCCTAGCCTTATTAAGTCTCAGTTTCCTCACCTGTAAACAAGAAGATAATAGTTCCTACCATATAGCGTTGTTGTGAGGATTGGAGATGATGTATATAAAGCACTTGGCACATAGTTGGCATCCGAGAAATAGCTAGTAAAAATGGGTAGCTTCCCTGCAAGTATTCTCTTTCCCATTTCCCTGGGAACACTATTTTTAGTATCTTGTGTCTGGGGGCCTCTAGCTTCCGAATTATATTAGGACCCTAGATGAGCTTTCTAAGTCCTTAGGATTTTTTCTCCTCTCCCACTTCCCTTGGTGCCTTCCAGCTGGACACAAACTCATTCCTAAAATATGTAGATGGAAGCTGTGGTAACCATGGAGACAAGGCGGGTGGCAGGGAGAGGCAGAGACAGTGTGAGAGACCAACAGCAACAGATAGGAAGAGAGAAGACATAAGGAGCAATTCAGACAGAGACCTTCAAACAAGATGGAAAAATAATGAGTCTAAGCAAGACTGAGAGTAAAGAGAGGCAAAGAGAGAGCATGTGTTACAAGGTCTGCTCTTCTCCTTGCCCCTTTCCTATCTCTCTCCCGCCAAGAATATGGGATGGAGGCATCTGAAAATGTCCCTTACCGTATCTAAAAATTCCTCCGGATATACACCTTCCTCATACGTATCTAAGAGGTCTACATAAGGGAGCTGAGGTCCAAGTTTCTCTGTGATGCGTGTTCCCTTTTGGGAGCGGTAGGGTGGGGATGTACCTGTGTCTGACTCCAGGCTGGATCATGCTCTCCCTGACAAACTACAAGAAGGCAGCCAGATCTCCTGTCTCTGCACCGTATGGACGGCGGCTGTGGATCCATATCTCCTCTCTACATCCCTCTGCACAGTGTGCCATGTGCCGTGTGTGGCAGGTCAGGTCTGACGCACAGGAAGGCATAAAAAACATACCAAGTGCTGAAAATGGGGATCTGGTGAAGCTCAGCGAAGAATCCGGATGGTCCTTGTCTGAGTGGTAGAGGAGTCCCCTAAGGAACCCTTAGGTTTGTTGGGGCTGAGGGGAGGTCTGCTAAGAAAGGGAAGTCAGGATTGGAGCCTCTAGATTTTGGAAGGTTGATGTGTGCATGGGTGGGGGAGCGATTTGGTACCCGACGCCCCCACCCGCAGAAACTGGGCTATAAATAGCACAGCAGAGCTCCGCCCCCCCCCCCCCCAGCTTCTCTCCTTCGGAGCCGGCGCTGTGCCCGGGGCGCTCCGGGAGGAGGGACCAGGATCCGGCGCGGGGCGCAGATACTGACACCAAGGGAATCCGGGTGCCCCCCCCCCAAGCCATGTGGGCCCCCGGGAACCCGGTTCCGCCACCCAGGCTGCCCAGTGGCCACGGCCTCAATCCTGGCCGGGCGGAGATTCTGCGGATGTTCAGGTATCTATTTGGGCGCACAGCCTGGGAGGGGAAAGAGCAAGGAGTGATGGGGAACATAGCAGGGGCAAAAGAAACCCCCAATTCTCCCTCCACCCGTTTTAGGTCCCAAACGCAAGCTGCTTCCCTCCCCCCACTCAATTTTTGGGGCTGTGGCAACCTAAAAGAGGTTAGGAATGGGAATATGTGTGTGACTGTATGGGTGCATGTGTGTGGGTGGGTGGTGTTCAGCATCCTAGAGAGGGGGATTCCAAATGTGGATACGAAAAGGGGGGTGCTGGAAAGGTCTGATAAGCCGTGGGGTGAGGGTGGGGGTGCGGATATCCCTGCGCGTGCACGAACGCATTTGCACACGCTCGTCCTTCAGTGCGGGTGCACCCTTCCCACCTCCTCAGGCATGCGCTGGGGGGGGAAGGGGCGGCTCAAAGGCATGAGTTAGAGGAAGGACTGTGTGCCGTGGAGATCTTTCCCACCCCACGCCGGGTCCCTCCATCGGTGCCTCAGTTTCTCTGCTGAATCCATCAATAAGATCTTTCTCTTTCTTGCAGCGATCTGCTTTGCCACTGAGACCTCAGGCCTCTGCCAACCACCACCCCCACACCCCTAGCCATCCTCGGCAGGTCCCAGTCCCGGCTCCGTCGGTTCTCTCGCCCCAGCCGCAGCTATGCTGCACACCGAGGGCCACGCTCTTCTTCGGGCCGTGGGTCAGGGTAAGCTACGCTTGGCCCGTTTGCTTCTGGAGGGAGGCGCCTACGTGAATGAGGGTGATGCCCAGGGGGAGACTGCGCTAATGGCGGCCTGTCGGGCCCGTTATGATGACCCTCAGAACAAGGCGCGCATGGTACGCTACCTCCTGGAGCAAGGCGCCGACCCGAACATCGCAGACCGCCTAGGGCGCACTGCGCTCATGCACGCTTGCGCCGGGGGTGGGGGCGCCGCGGTGGCCTCGCTGCTCCTTGCCCACGGCGCAGACCCCTCCGTCCGAGATCACGCGGGCGCCTCAGCGCTTGTCCACGCCCTGGACCGCGGGGACCGCGAGACCCTTGCCACGCTGCTAGACGCCTGCAAGGCCAAGGGCACGGAGGTCATCATCATTACCACTGATACCTCTCCCTCGGGCACCAAGAAGACCCGGCAGTATCTCAATTCCCCACCATCCCCAGGGGTGGAGGACCCTGCTCCAGCTCCTCCTAGCCCGGGGGTCTGCACGTCGCCTTCGGAAATCCAGCTGCAGACTGCTGGAGGAGGAGGGCGGGGGTTGTTATCCCCTCGCACCCAGGAAGAAGAGGAGAAGCGGGACGTATTTGAATTCCCTCTTCCTAAGCCCCCCGATGACTCCTCCCCTTCTGAGCCGCTCCCCAAACCACCACGTCACCCCCCCAAACCCCTCAAAAGGCTCAACTCCGAGCCCTGGGGCCTAGTAGCCCCTCCTCAACCGGTGCCGCCCGCGGAAGGGAGGCCTGGGATGGAGCGCTTGACCACCGAATTCAACGGCCTGACCCTAACGGGTCGACCCCGTCTTTCCCGACGTCACAGCACTGAAGGCCCGGAGGACCCGCCCCCATGGGCGGAGAAAGTGACGAGCGGGGGTCCTCTCTCTCGTCGAAATACAGCGCCAGAGGCTCAGGAGTCTGGTCCCCCTTCAGGGCTAAGGCAGAAACTGAGCCGCATGGAGCCGGTGGAGCTCGACACCCCCGGACATCTTTGCCCCGATTCGCCAGAGTCCAGTCGCCTGTCCCTGGAGCGCCGCCGTTACAGCGCCTCCCCGTTAACCCTCCCTCCAGCCGGCTCGGCTCCCTCCCCGCGCCAGTCCCAGGAGAGTCTGCCTGGGGCCGTATCTCCGCTAAGCGGAAGGAGGCGGAGTCCCGGGCTGCTGGAGCGGAGGGGCTCCGGGACGTTGCTCCTGGACCACATATCGCAAACGCGGCCAGGTTTCCTGCCCCCGCTCAACGTCAGCCCCCACCCCCCTATCCCCGACATTCGCCCCCAACCCGGAGGTCGGGCGCCTTCGTTGCCTGCCCCTCCCTATGCCGGGGCACCAGGCTCTCCCAGGACCAAGCGCAAATTGGTGAGACGACACTCCATGCAAACCGAGCAGATCCGCCTGCTAGGGGGCTTCCAGAGTCTAGGCGGGCCAGGGGAGCCAGGGCGCTGAGAGAAGTGAGAGGAGCCAAGGAGGGTGGGGATCAGGACCTTGATGGGACAGGTGGGAGAACCAGCTCACACACATACCATGGACAGAGGGGTCTCTTGCATGTGCTCATGGGAACGGTGCACACACATATGGTTAAACATGTGTCCACAAGCACAGTACTCTTACTAGCAAAGAAGGATAAGTACTCTATTTACTGGGCATATAGACACATGCATTCATGCCCTGGTCATTTCACATGCATGTGGGATACTTGTGTACCCACAGGCACAGCACACTAATAAACACACATGGCCACTTGTGCTAGGGTCCCAAACTCACTTGCATTTGTTCAGAAGCAGTAGGGAACCCCCTACTATGGGTAGTCTCAAATATCTTTGCCCTCCTACTGAACCAATCCCTTGCTTTCCATGTATACCCTGCAACACAGCCTATCATGATTTTGCATACTCCACCCTCTTCATGAATATCCCACCCCATTCTGCAGGTCTTGCTTCTCTCTCCAGGTCTGGCTCCTTGTTCACACCCTACTTCCAGCCCCAAACACTTTTCAGGATATCTTCTTCACTCTTCTTGGGGTTCCTGCAGCAACCCCCAGCCGCAGTTCTGCTGCTGCCCTTCCTGCCTCAACTTCACTTCTCAATTAACTTCCTGCTTTTTATTCCCAGCCTGTTCCCCCAACCACTACCATAGGTTGTTTCATTTTCCTACGGGGTGGGTCATGGGCTCTAAGCTTCTCTTCTGTCTGTCTGAGCTTATGAACACCCCCACAAGGTAGAAGTGGGGAGTAACCCTAAATCACTCTTCTCTCCACTTGACATATCAAATAAATGTGTTCAGAAGTCTCTGTTTTGTCACTTCTGCCTGGAAGTGTGGGTGTGGGGAATGAGGAATGGGGAGGGAGGGTGATCCTAACTTATAGCTATGATGATCCAGGGGACACTTAGAGGTTCCAGCCACCTTCTTTTCAGGAGACAAATTGACCAACTGTGGTTGTAGAAGAAAGGGCAAGTGTCCTGTGTCCTGAAGGTTTTAAGGCATTTGGCAGGCTTTCATTTCCTCCAATTTCCCCTATGTCCATCCTTGAATTCTTAAAGATTCCTACAAAGAGTCCCTTCCTCCACCACCAGCAGATATATCCAGTACATTAACTGCCCTTTTTCTAGCTTCCTATTTCTTGGCCACCCACAGTTTTTACTCAGGGTCTAATTTTCATGTCACCAGCTGAGTTTCATCTATTTTCTTCTACTTCTGGCCTCTATTTCCCCATCTTTGATTTCTGATCACTGTAGGAGAGGTTGGGGTGGCAGTTAATATAACCTCACCTAAGTAAAAATTGCAAAATGGTCAATTGACAGAGTGTGTAGTGTGTGTGTGCATGTGTGCAAAGAAATCAGAAGAACCCAGCCTGACAGTTTCTATGAACAAGGTACCTTTCTTAATCTGCCCCCCACTATGAATTCTCAGCTGGTTTTCTGCATATACTCTCTTTCTCACTCTAAAGGGAGGTAAAGGGAGCCTTTCATTCTACTCTCTTACTTTCCCCCTTGCTTAGAATAGAAGAAATCATAACTTTGCCCAACAATGTGTCATAATGAAAAGATAAAAATATTGGGAATCAGAACACCTATGTCTGAGCGCCCCTTAGCCATCTCCTAGCTATTTAATTTTGGTCAATTTATCTAGCCTCCCTGAGCATCTGTTTCCTTATCCATAAAAATAATAAAATCTAGTTAGTGATTGTGATCATTAAATAAAACAATGTGCTAAAGTACATTGTATAGTATATGCTCATTAAATTACAGTATCTTTCTTGCTTTCATTCCACCACCAATTGCATGTGATACTGGACAAATCGCATCACTTCTCTGAGCCACACTTTCCTCATCTACATCTATAAAATGAAATGGACAGACAAACGATCTCTAAGAATCCTGTGTCTACAATTCTCTGCAGCCTTGCATCCAGGCCCATTTTTGTTCTTCAAGCCCCGCCCCCTGGTTCTAGCCAGCTTTCTAGTGCTCGCCGCCGGACTCCCAAAGACGCGCCCAAGCTACGCGTCTGCCTTACAGAAGATATCGCTTATTCTTTTTGCAATTGGTCCTCAGAACCTCCGCCCTCCTCAGTAACTTGCCTATGGCGGAGAGGGAGCCCTCCAGCTCCCGCCCCCTCATTGGTGATTGGCATGGGACCTGGCTCGTATCCGCCCTCAATTGACTGACAGCTCGGCCTCGGCACCGCCCTCAGTCCCCAGGCGCTCCTTGACTGGGGTGGCGGGGACCGTTAGCTGGCCAGGCTGGCAGGCTGCGGGCCGCTACTGCACTGGCAGCCGGGATGGAGACGATGCGAGCACAGCGGCTGCAGCCTGGAGTAGGCGCTAGCGGGAGGGGCACTCTTCGAGCGCTGCGGCCCGGAGTGACTGGGGCCACGGCTGCTGCCGCCACACCCCCAGCGGGCCCCCCGCCGGCCCCACCGCCCCCCGCACCGCCCCCGCCGCCGCTGCTCGCGTCAGGGGCCCCCGGGCTGCCCCTGCCCCCCGGAGCCGCCGGCAGCCCGGCTGTGCTGCGGGAGGCTGTGGAGGCCGTGGTAAGGAGCTTCGCCAAGCACACGCAGGGCTATGGCCGAGGTGAGTCTGCGGGTCTGGCCTCCTGCGGGACACTCTCTGTAAGGGAGCCTTGCTCCCACAGTCCTCCAGATCGCTTTTCCTGGCCCTAACATGCATTTCCTTTTGGGGAGTTTACTTCTGGGCTACACACACGCTCACGCACAGACGCACACACTCATACATACGTTTAAGCCTCCCACCTCCTCCCCTTTACTCAGTTATTAATATATTCTCCAGAGTCCCTCTTTTTCAGATACAATCGTCTTTTCTTCCCAACCTTTTCTCCTTCGGAAATAGAATTCTTCCTCTAGCTTAAGGCGTTAACATCTTTCTCCCTTTGAGAACCAGACCCCATTGTGTGGGATCCTGTCCTTCATCACAGATCCCATTTCTCATCCACACCCTCTCAGTCTTTCCTCTGTGGTCTCATCAATTCCTGGGCTCCCCTGTTAATTTACTCCATCTCCTTAACGTTGACTTTTTAATTCTTTACTTACTTAACTCTGAAATTTCAATGCAACTTAAGACTTGCTGGGTAGTTAGGTAGTGCCTTCACAAGTCACTCTTAATAATTGTGCCTTTCTTTAAATCTGGACCCATACCATTGAGCCCACACCAGCTTCCTGTGGCTTAGTACCTCACTTTGGTTGTCTTTTTTAGTATGGAGACTCAGAACTCCTGCCTCTCTGTCTGGCTTTGTTTTCCTGGCCCTTGTCCAGGAACTGAGGATAAATCCCAGGCCTTGGCTCTGTTAATGTTAAATTCTGTGGAAATGAGCCAGGTAGAAACCCTATTTTGCTTAGAAATCTTCATCTAAAGATGCCTAATTTCTGGGAAGGGGGATGTGAGGATTTTCTTCGTTGTTTTTATTTAACCAGTGTAGAATTTCCTGTCTGAGTTCAAGTTCCATATTTATAGTGTAAGTAGCAAGGAATATATAGTGAGGGGTGTGGGATACAGAATTTAAGTATGGAATTTCTGACATCACTTCTGTCTGCTTGGCCACGTCCTACTTGACCTGAAAGTAACACTATCTTTAATACAGAGAAAGGTTGCAGGGCTTTCTCTATAGACTTTTTTTTTTCTTTTTTGAGAAAGCGTAGTGAAAAGAGCACACACAGGCTTTGGAGATTTCTGTCTTTACCAGCTATGTCTTTGGGGAAGGGACTCAACCTCACTGAGCTTCAGTTTCTTCAGGGATCATGTGGATTAACGGAGATATTGCAACTGACACATAATGGGTACCTAAAAATTATCATTATCTCAGATTTGTTGGTTCATACTTCCTTAAGAATAACATGTCTCATTTTCTCCCACTCTTAAATCCTGATTGTGTAAACCAAAAAATTCTGATGAAAACAGATTTTCAGATCCATTTTGCTATATATACCTAATGATTCATTTACCGTCAGTTTCCCTTTGTTCTTCATACAATTTGAGCTCCTACCATAGGGCAAGGTACTCTGCTAGGTGCTGGAGATACAACTGAAAATGATTCTGAAATTCATTATGAGGAAGTTATTTTTCTAGTTTAATTCCTAGATTTAACAAGGCTAAATGATGGAACTGCCATCAGCTACTATCCTGCTGCTTCAGGTCTCTTGAAGCTGAGATCAAGGGAAGGTCTTTACCTCTGGGCATAGGAGTAGCCAGGAGTGGTCACCCTAAATATGAAGTCTTCCTCTAGGAAACTTATAGGCATTTATTAAAATTATAGAGGAATATACCCTTTTTCTTGTCTGTGTTACCTAGAGAGCCTCTGGTTTGGCTTCTAAACTGGGCATCCTGTAAAAACTTTCATTTCCTTACCAAGAATGAGGGAAAAAGAGGATTGTGTTGACAAAGAACAGTCAAGCTTCAGACTGTGGTGATTCTCTCTCCCACCTCCCCACCTCCCATCACAGTTTCTCTCATTATTCTTAAGTTTCTCATTTCCAGTCTGGGTGTCCAGCCAGTACTTTAGGAGAGTTTGGCAGATAGTTCAGCAAGCAGAATCTCTGCCCATTTGGCTCAGAAGTCCTTTACCACATGGAATCACTTATTCTGTTTCAATTCTTAGGCAAAACTGCCATTGGCATGTACCCACATACCCTTGTGACTGATGGCATGGTATTTGGGGGATGGCTGTATTCCCCTGAATACAATTTATTTTGGTCTCTGCCCAGACCATTCCCTCATCCAGCAATGCTTTACCACATTTTCTTCTTCCTGACTGCTTCAAATTGCCCTTTTCCAGTCATGGTGGATTTTTTTAAATTTTTTTTTTTGTTTTTTATTGATTTAAGCTGGGGTCTTGCTCTGTCTCCCAGGCTGGAGTACAGTAGTGTGATCATAGCTCAATGTAACCTCGAACTCCCAGGCTCAAGCAATCCTCTCACCTCAACCTCCCAAGCAGCTGGGACTACAGGTGTGTGCCACCATGCCTCGCCACTTAAAGTTTTTGTAGAGAGTAGAGATGGGGTCTTGCTGTGTTGCCCTGGCTGGTCTCAAATTCCTGGCTTCAAGTGATTTTCCTTCTTCGGCCTCCCAAAGTGTTGGGATTACAGGCATGAGCCAGGCCTTGGCACGCAGCCAAGTCACAGTCTTTAGATTTACCTTCCCTCATGTAGGATTTCAGCATTCATACAAAAAAATTCTTCCATTATTTCACCTGTTTGTCCTTTATCTCCCCCTCTCACCCACCCACCCAACATACACACATAGCTCAATATGCTGCAGGATTTTAATCAGTTTATAGTGCATAGGATTTGGAATCAGAGGACCTGGCCCTGTCAGTGTCTCTGTGATCTTAAAGAAATTGCTTAATCTCTCTGTCTCATCTGTTCCGTTCATTCATTTAACAAATATTTATTGATCACCAGATGCAGTGGTGAACAAGGCAGATATTTAGTCCCTATCTTGATGACGCTCACAGTCCACTTTACAGAGCATGTGTGAGGATTAATGGTACAGGAAGGCAGGATGGTACAATAGAAAAGAGGGTGGACTTTGGAGCCCAACAAACATTGTTTCTAAATCCTGGTTCTGCCACTTCTGGCCTATTCCTTAACTTCTTTACTTTTTGTAGAATGGGTATTATTATACCTATTCTGATAGTTTTAGGTAGATTAAATGAGATAATCAATATAAAGCATGCAGAATATAATAGTACTCAGATTGGTTGCTATTATTATGCATTTGGAAATGCATTTGGAAAACTGTGCAAATGATAGCTATTATTAGCTTAACCATTGCCTTTGCCTATTTTTTTTTTCTACAAAGCATATAGTCCCCTTCTCATGTTTGACATCTGGCAATCCCTAAACTGGCATGATTGAGCAAGTTACTTTCCTTGCTCTGTAACTGCTACATTTCTCTCTTCAAATGGTGTTGTTTTGGAATTATTGCTATCCCTTTATGTTATAATATGACTACATGATTGGAAATTTTGCCCAGCTACTCCACTAAGTTGAACAAATGAATCTTGAGTAATAGTTTTTGTTTAGTTGTTCCTTTTCCTCAGAATCACAGAGAGCTTCTTTTCCTATAAGTGACTGGAGTTAAATTGATTGGTCTGAATATTTCTAATTTTTAGAAATGTTGGATTAGTCCCTGTATTAGTTTCCTGTGACTGCTGTAACAAATTATCACAAATTTGGTAGCTTAAAACAACAGACATTTATTCTCTCACAGTTCTGGAGGCCGTAAATCCAAAATCAGTATTACTGGGCCAAAATCAAGGTGTTGGCAGGGCTGTGCTCCCTCCAGAAGCTCTAGTGGAGAATCCACTCCTTGCCTCTTCCAGCTTCTGGGGGCCATCGACATTCCTTGATTTGTGACTGTATCATTCCAATCTCTGCCTCTACGCCTTCTCCTCTTCTGTGTTTTTTCAAATCTGCCTTCCTCTTATAAGGACACTTGTGATTGCCTTTAGGGCCCACCCAGATAGGATAATCTCCCTATCTCAAATTCTTTAAACACATCTGCAAAGTCTTTGCCACATAAGGTAACATTCACAGGTTCCAAGGATTAAGACATGGACATCTTAGCAGGGGCCATTATTCAGTCTACCAGAGTCCCTTCCCAAAGTCACTATTATTAATACTTCCCAGTCCCTCCCTTTCACAGAGACTGTGTACTGTGGACTATTCAGGGGGTACCTTCTAAAAACTGAAATGGTAAATACCAGATGAAATATTGTTAACCAGCTTCCCCATCTTCCATAATAATGTGAATTAAGCTGGGCCAGCTATTCTCACCATCCTGTATGATTAGGGAGAGCCTTTTTACTCACCTCTCAATTTGATTATCTATTTATTATCTCTTTATCCCTGTTCCCCCACCATATATTATATCTATTCTTTTTCCATGTATTTATTTTTATAATATAAAATCTTTACTGTAGTTTCATGTGTTGTTTTAATGTTTTTATTCTGGTAGATAAATGATCTGTTCCTCTCATTGCTCTTAGATATCCATCTAATATTTTATCTCTTAAAGGCAAAAACCAAATCATTCTCTTTTTTGTTGTTGTTCAACATCAGAGTTTAAGCACTTAAATATTCCTCACTATCTTGGTCTTGCAGAAAGTAATTGCGGCTGTCAAACATGTACATCTCATCATTCCTGCCCTTGTACTTTGCTGTTCTTTAGCCATCCTTATGTAAACCATTGTATCCATGGTTCCTCAATGAAAATCTGACCAAAACTATGGGCACCCCTCACATACACATGCACAAATACTTATATGCATACACACATATAATTTTACTTAACAGTTTTAGGGGGCTTGTGAGCCCCTGTGAAGCCCAACCATAGACTGGACCTTTAACCCTGGGTTAAGATTCCCAAATTGGAAAGAACACTGGCATCAGGATATCTAGATTCATGCCCCAGCTACGCAACAGCTATGTGACCTTGAGCCAGTCATCTGCCCTACCTTAGCCTAAGTCGGACTAGATAATCTCTAAAGTTTCTTCCAGCTTTAAAAATGAATGAGTCTATGAGCACTTTCAAATGCTGATCACAATTAATTGCTTTTTCTTGACCATTTTGTCCAATCTCTCATTTTATACTCACATTTCTGAAATAAGACTCCCCATTTCCTTTGGCTTTGAGTAATCATTAAAAATTGGTCCTCTACTCTGTGCCAAGAGGGATTTAACTGAATATAGACTGGACATATGCCTTTTAATAAGACCTTCCTAATTACGATGGTCTCCTCCCCTTCCTCTTTATTCCAATATTCTCTCTGTTGTTTGCATGTCAGGAGAGCTGTCACCCAGTGCATTGTGCTAAATTGTCTCAAAGAGAGAACTGGGGCTGAAAAGATCTCAATGGAAAGAACAAAGATGGCTAAGCTTTCTGGGTAGCAGTGACCTTTGAAGACCCCTTGCCAAAACCAAGGGTGGGAAAGAGAGTTTCCTTTTCATGCTGTCTTTTAATAGAAGAATGAACAATTCTAAAAAGTCAAAGATAGGGTATTAGAAAAGAGCTTATGCTGCTTTTCACCTCTGGTTGGTGCACGGGTTGTTTCCGTTTCCGTTGCTGAGCAGGTGAGATGACTTATTATTGGGTACTAGATTTTAAACACCTTATTGACAGGGACAGTGTGTTTTTCTTTGCATCCCTAAAGCCTAGAATAGAGCTACACAATTATTAAATGCTCAAATATTTGCTTAATGCGTGTATGGCAGCCATGAAAATGTGCTGTTCAGATCTCCTGCTACAGGAAGCATAACTAACAGCTTCAGCTGCTGCCCGCTCTGGGTCCATCACCACATTTGCACCAAGGCCACACTTCCTGTAGGCTGCTCCCACCCAATGACTGAGCATACACAGGCACATCTTGGTGAGATGTGGGATTCCTTTGGCATGAGGACTTCCCACTGAGTTCGCCAAACCTTTCATGAAACTGCACTGCAGTCTCAGATCCTCATATCCAAACCTCCTTCCCTCCCTCTTTTCCATAGGTGTCAGACCTTCACTGTGATCTGAGGGCTCTCCCTGCCTTCTCCTACTTCTTCCCCAATAAATCTCTTGCATGTCTATCCCATCTTGGCTTCTTCTTGAAAGACCTGAACTAATATGAAAGAATTAATGAGTCCTTGTTGTAATTAAGAGTAGGAGACTCCATGTTGCAAGATATTGGAAAGCACATGTGATAACTTATTATGAGGCTTTAGTTAAAAGTTGGAACCCTAGAGTCAAAGTGATCCTTTCCAAAGGTAAACTGCTCTCATCCCTCCTTCTGTTTAAAATCCTTCAATTGCTCCCTATTGCTCTAGGATAAAGCCAATACTCTCACATGGCCTAAAAGGCCCTACTTGGTCTGGTACCTGCCTCCTCTGGCAACTTCATCTTGCATCACACTTCCCTTCATTCCCTCTTTTGGACCCACAATGGCCTTCTTTTAGTCCCTTTAGTCACCATGTTTCTTGCTGTCAGAGAGCCTTTGTACATGCTGTTTCTTATGTTCAGAATACCATTCTCTCATCTCTTGCCTAGTGAATTTTTTACTCATACCTGAGCATAGTTATCACCTCCTCAGGGTAGCTTTCTTTCACCTTTTAACTAGATCAGATACTCCTACAGCATGTCCCACCATCTACTACTCCTTTATAGGACATATCACAGTTACAGTTTTACATTTGTTTGAAATTATTTGATTAATATCTCTCTCTCCCTTTACCCTGTAGGCTACATAAGGAAAAGGTAGGGAATGGGAAAAAGGGTTCTAGGATACATTGTCAGGTCTGGAGTTTGATTTTATCCTATTTACAACTCGTAAGTTAGCCAGTTATTGTTTCATGGATGCTGGCTGAAGTCAAGAGACTTCTGGGTCAGAGACAAAGTATGTTATTACTCATAGCATAGCAAGTAGCATGAGCATCACATTTGTATCAGTCCTCTTTGCCTCCTCCCAAGTCTGATGTGGAGGGCTCAGGTAGATGCTTGCATAGGCCACGGATTGTATCACAAGAGAGGAAAACTGAGCTTGGGGGACCTGCCATTTTATAACAAGCCGTAAGCAAGCTTGTTCTGTGTCCCAGTGGGACACATTACCTCATCCCTTAAGGTTTCTTGCTGCAAACACAGTCCTGAGAAATGTGGACTAAGTAAAGAGCAGTCAGGGCTTTGCAATCTTAACATACCCAGCAAGATGTGAAGGAGCATGAGAGACCCATGGAGAAGTGTTTCCCACCATACAGTTCCTCCAAAAATCATTTATACCAAGGTAAAGCCTCAGAAGAGAAGTGTTCTCTCTCTCTCTTTCTTCTATCTCACATCGTGTACACATAATATTCCTGGATGGATAAGAAATCTGGCCATGGATTTGCTCACTATTTGCTCATATTTCCTTGAGAGGCAGTAGTGCATAGAAGAATATTGATTGTGGAACTGAGACTGCCTGAGTTTAGATTCTTGATCTTGAATTCTACTTGCTAGCTGTTATAACCTTGGGCAAATTATTTAACTTTTCTATACTTCATTTCCCTCATCTGTAAAACAGGGATAATAAAGGTCCTCATAAGGCTGTTGTGATTAAATGAGTAAAACACTTATTAAGGAAATGCCTGACATACAGTAAGTGTTGAATAAATGTTAGCACTTATCATGCTGGTCATCATCATCCTGGGCCAGCTGACCAATTGTGGAATGATCTACTTGTATTTCATCAGGCAGTGATAATGTTCTGCTGACCTTGGAAATTCTACTCCCAATATTTAAGTTATTCTAGGACTAAATCAAAATGTGAACTAGAGGTAAGGGATGAAAGCAGGCATACTCTGTTCTTCCTATGTAAATTAATTTAATCACAGTCTAGGTTTATTAATTTAAATGCTTTTAAATGGTGATAGGTAGGGAGCTAAGGGGCAGACTCTTAATGTAGGTATAGATTGCAGGTACTGTACTGAAGTACAGCACTACTTGGAGGCGTTCTCATTGCTGAACTTAACTACTTCTCTTTTTGTAGTGAATGTTGTGGAGGCACTTCAGGAATTCTGGCAGATGAAGCAGTCCCGTGGGGCTGACTTGAAGAATGGGGCTTTAGTGGTTTATGAGATGGTTCCCTCCAACAGTCCTCCCTATGTCTGCTATGTCACCCTGCCTGGGGGAAGTTGCTTTGGAAGCTTCCAGGTAAGAGTTGTGAGATGGCAGTAGCAACGATAAATGCTCAGGTGCTAGTAAGGGCTTTTTCCACCACTCTGGCCATTAAATGTGCGTCTGAAATCACACATTTGAGGACCTAAACCAATTCTGAGTAAATAATTCTGGCAAGCATTTAAGGCTCATTTGATCACAAAAGAACCTCAGTAGCAAGCTTTTCTTTCAAAAACTCAAACCCATTTTGAATTTGAATATGCCCTTGTTCACTTTATCAGACTACGAGCACCCAACCCATGTTATGATCTGGCTTGCATTTTTGCATTCCAACCTTCCTACCATCTCTTCTTGAGGATACAGAACAATATTCTTTGCCCTTAGTACTTTTTCTTTTGCTTTTGCTTTGTTTTTTTTTTGAGACAGAGTCTTGCTCTGTTGCCTGGGCTAGAGTGCCGTGGCATCAGCCTAGTTCACAGCAACCTCAAACTCCTAGGCTCAAAGGATCCTCCTGCCTCAGCCTGCTGGAGCCACCATGCCTGGCTAATTTTTTCTATTTTAAGTAGAAATGGGATCTCACTCTGGCTCAGGCTGGTCTCGAACTCCTGACCTCAGGTGATCCTCCCGCCTCCCAGAGTGCTAGGATTACAGGCATGAGCCACCACGCCTGGCCCTTAGTGCTTTTTCATAGACAAGTACTAAAGAAAGCAAGGTTTGAATTCTCTAAGAGATCAAGGGGAGGGACTATGTATAGTGGAAACAGTATTCATCTAAGAGTTAGGGGATCCAAATTCTCATTCCCCTGACTGCCAGTGGGACTAGTAAGGTAACTTTTTTGGGCCTGTTTCCCCACCTATAACATGAAGGCGGATAGGTTAGATTAGTTCTAAAGTCTTTTCTACTACTAACATTCTACAGTTGTAAGAAAGACCTATGGTGATGAAAAGAATGGTGCCATTATGGGGTAGTAAGAAATTATTATGGACTAGGGTGAATATTATCAACAAAGATAGATTTTTTACATTGCAGACAGGAAGGCAGCTTCTGAAATGTCAACTTAAGAGTCTGAATAGGAATTCACCGAAAATAGTAAAACACCTTTGTTCTGTTTTCCATACGGTTTGTGTCACCCTTAGACAACATTAGAGCCCCTGATATGTGTTTCCACAGGAACTTGAATTTCCCCTATCATATCACTTACTACAATGTATCATAATTGTTTGTCTCTCCTAGTGGAGTATGCTCCATGGAGGCAGAGATTGTATCTGTCTCCTTTTTTGTTCCATATTAAGTCCTTACCACCCAACTCAGTGCCCAGCACATAGTAGGCAATTAATATATCTGTTGCATGAATGCCACTGAAGTCCTAAGGAACCTTCATTTCAAATCAGGTGACTAAATTTTTTCCCTCAGATCTTCAGCCATTTCAGAGAAATAAATATATGCCCAGGATGACTAATGTTTATGCTTTCTTTTCTTAGAGAATAAGATCTTTCCTTCTTTCTACTTTGTCACATTGTTAAATAATGATTTAAAATTTTTATGATGATGCTCATAACTGAAACATAGTAATTTGATTTCTGTTATTTTCTGAAAGAGTAGAATTATCTCTGTTGGTCTCTTTTAGCTTATACCTTTTATATCCACTTTGGCAGGTAAAATTTCTCCTGGTGGTTTTCTTCAGAGATGACTTTTTCAGAAACAGCACTATAGAGCAGAGTGGGCAGTAGGCTAGTAATAGAGAAGTAGAGACAGTGAAATTGAAGAAGCAAGAAAGCTTATGGCTAATATACCAAGCTCCATATGCTGCCTCAGAGAGAACTGTCAGCTAAAGAAAATTAGGAATTAATGATAATAATGATGGTTAAGTAGTGAACATAACCTGGTCTACTTTTGAAAACTATAACATCACTTTCTTCCTTTCCCCTTAATCTTTTTTTAGCCAGTCAAATTCAGCAGTGGGGGTCTTTCCCCTAATCTTAATCATAAATGACAAAGGGCACAGAGGCCTTAGAGGGAGCAGTAAAGATGAATTATAAAGGAATACCATGGTGGCTAGGAATCTGAAGTTGAATGATTTATGACTTCTGAAAATCAGACTTGTTCTATGATACCTTGTTCAGGGATAGCTCCTTTGGCTCACTACATTGTTGCGGAAAATGCCTGCCTACAGCTAAAAGTGAAGGAATCCCAGATGGGTGCTTCTGATAGAGACCAGAGGCCTGCTCTGCAGAAGCAGCCTAGACCCAGCTTTGTTCTAATCTTGGATTATCTAGAGAAATCAAAAAATCTTGCCTGTCCGCAGAATAAGGGAACAAGATACAGATTTCTATTAATAATAAATTGGCCAGAATCTAGCTTTTGAGTAATTAATTCTGTCGACAGTTTAAACAGGGGTATTTTTCCTGTCCAGTGATTATATGCTGACATCAGCAGTCTTCCTCATTCTGCATTCAATTTGGTACGAGCTATAGCCGTCTCCAGTTCCTTAATGACTTCAGGATGTTGAATCAAAATTATGTTTCCAAACAGCCCAACCATTTTACAATAAAAACTTTGGGGAGTGTGTTGAACACAACTGATTTATCCAGAGTTTCCAAGTGTCTTCTATCTCAAATGTTTCCCTCCCACTGTTCCTTTCTCTTTCTCAGATGCACATATACAAATACTCTCATTCTTTCTCCCCTGCCTAGTTTTGCCCCACAAAAGCTGAGGCCCGGAGAAGTGCTGCAAAGATTGCGCTAATGAACTCTGTGTTTAATGAACATCCTTCCCGAAGAATCACTGATGAGTTCATTGAGAAGAGTGTCTCTGAGGCCCTGGCATCGTTCAATGTAAGTTGCATGGAGTTGGAAGGAAGGAGAGTGGAGGATGGCTGAACTGGCCAGTTGGGAAGTCTTATAAATTACTGGGAAACAGAGCATGAATTCTTGTTTTCTTTCCTGTCTACCTCTCTGTTCTTTCTGTTTATTCTCTGTTGTGTCACGTGTTCCATGTCTCAATCGCTAATTCTATATCTGTGTTTTTTGTTGTTTTGTCTTCTTTCATTGTGTCTCTTTGGTATCTAGAAATCTTTAATTCAGGATTTATGGAATTTTAAGGCCAGGCGCAGTGGCTCACACCTGTAATCCTAGCACTCTGGGAAGCTGAGGCGGGAGGATCCCTCAAGGTCAGGAGTTCAAGACCAGCCTGAGCAAGAGTGAGACCCCCGTCTCTACTAAAAATAGAAAGAAATTAGCTGGACAACTAAAATATATAGAAAAAATTAGCCAGGCATGGTGGCACATACCTGTAGTCCCAGCTACTCGGGAGGCTGAGGCAGAAGGATTGCTTGAACCCAGGAGTTTGAGGTTGCTGTGAGCTAGCCTGATGCCACAGCACTCTAGCCCAGGCAACAGAGAAAGACTTTGTCTCACACACACACACAAAAAAAAAGATTTATGGAATTTTAGTATCCCAAAATGAAAAGTGAGTTTGAATTTTGCTTTTCCCAATTTTGGTTTAAGACCTTAGTCTCTTACTGTTTTTTTTTCTTTTTTTTTAAATAAGACTAGGATTTTTTTGTTTTGTTTTTCTTTGTTTTGTTTTTCGAGACAGGGTATTGCTCTGCTGCCCAGGCTGGAGTGCAGTTGCCCAATCATACCTCACTGTAGCCTCAAACTCCTGGCCTTAAGTAATCCTCCTGCCTCAGCCTCCTAAATCGATGGGATTATAGGCATAACCCACTGTGCCCATAAAACTGTTTTTATTTTCGCTTTTCTCCTGCCTCCATTACTTCATCTTATCAATAGAGAGCTCCTTTATAATACAGTGTCTTGTCTTTTTCCCTTTTTAGAAATGAGGAGGATAATTTATTTGCTCTCTTTAAAAAGAACAACTATTCTTTCAAATAATGATGATAATAATAACCTTAGCTAATCCTTATGCCAGGGACTACTCTAGGGGATTTATATGTATTTTATCTCCTTTAAACAACATAACAATCCTGAGGTGTGAGTACTATTATTACCCCTATTTTAGAGATGAGGACAATAAAACAAAGAAGTGAAGTTTTGCCTAAAGTGATATAGCTAGTAAGTGGTAGTGCCACCCAAGATTAGATAGAAACCCAAGCAGACTTTTTTTTGTTTTTTTGAGACAGGGTCTCGTTCTGTCAACCAGGCTGGCGTGCAGTGTTGTGATCATGCTTCTGCAGCTTCAAATTCCTGGGCTCAAGCGATCCTCCTGCCTCAGCCTCCCTAGTAGCTGGGACTACAGACACACACCACCAAGCCTGGCTAATTTTTCTTATTTTTTTCTAGAGATAGGGTCTTGCCCAGTTGGTCTCTGAATTCCTGTCCTCAAGCAGATCCTCCCACCTTGGCTTCCCAAAGTGCTGGGATTACACACATAAGCCACCATGCTGGGCCTTTAAGCACTTAGTTTAGAGTTACAGTTCAGAAATTAAAACTGCCTTCTTCCTTCCTCCCTGCAGATTCATTGATAGGGTGATAAAGTGACCAGTTTTCTGTTTCTATTCTATTTGCATTTAGTTAAGTTGTAATTACATATACTAAATTTTTTTTTTTTTTTTTGAGACAAGAGTCTCACTCTGTTGCCCTGGCTAGAGTGCCATGGCATCAGCCTAGCTCACAGCAATGTCAAACTCCTGGGCTCAAGCGATCCTCCAGCTTCAGCCTCCTGAGCAGCTGGGACTACAGGCACGCGCCACTGTGCCTGGCTAATTTTTTCTATTTTCAGTTGTTTGGCTAATTTCTTTCATTTATAGTAGAGATAGGGTCTTGCTCTTGCTCAGGCTGGTCTCAAACTCCTGAGCTCAAGCAATCCTCCCACCTGGGCCTCCCAGAGCGCTAGGATTACAGGCGTGAGCCACCGCACCCGGCCTACATATACTAAATTGTTTCAGTTATCTGCTTTGTGGATTGAATTAAATTATCTCTAATTCCTTTCCAATTATATTCTAATGATCCTTTCACTAATCAATTATTCTGTGATAAAATGTTTATTGAATAAATGGAGTTGGTTTAACCATGTTAGGTGTGGAAGTGTGATATGAGGCAGAACTTTCCAACTGGTAGGTCATGTCACTCTGGGAGTCCAAACAGGTTGAAGGTGTGCCATCATATTGATTACCCTCAGCTCCCAGGCGACTGGGCAAGGCCTGGGACAGATGAACTCCTCTGCCCAGAATCATTCGGGCTGCTAGCATCCTCCTCTGTATATCCCAGTTGGCTGTACAGATATGATCATTATTTTATATGTGCCATGTCATGGAAAAGTTTGAGAGGCACTGAATAAGGTATCATATTGAATAGTCATAAGTAAAAATGAAATGGTTCCTTGCCTCAGAGCCCTAATGCCTAATTTTGAAGATTATCTTTTCCTTCCAGGTTTTCACTTCTAAATCCAAATTTTGTATTTTTTTCCTCCTCCCTCCTTCTCTAGATCCAAATTTTGTAATCCTTGCTTCACCACAAAGATCAAATGTGTGTTAATCAACATGGGCTGATCTTGAGTAGTTATGACCTCCAGTTGATTCTAGCACAGTAAAAACAAATAATAATAATTAACTAGCACTTGTGGCTTTACTTACTAAGTGGTTGACACTATTTTAGGTGCGATACATATACAGGAAAACCCTACAATAAACTGAATTTGGATATAACCCAATTGGCTCCTGACTTCTTCCTAGTCCCCTTTCTCAAAGAATGCCAAATAAAGTTCTAATCTTGGGATGTGTGGGTGTGTGGAACCAGCTAGAAAGAGCAGGCAACTTCTTAGGAAGCAGGAGGACAAAGTTGGATCCCTGTGTTCCCAGTAGTTTCCTGGTCCTCATTTCCTAGTTGACAAAAAGGTCACCAATAAACCAGGAGATGCCCTATTTTGGGAGTCCCATTCAGCCCCAAGATCTGGAATTATCCCCAATAGTTAAACCAGAGAGAAAAACCACCAGCAAATCTACACCAAACCATAGCTGATAACAGAATGGATTTGGATTGTATAACTGGACACCAGGACCAGCACAATAATGTACCTACATTTTATATGATTGGAGTTCCAGACCACATTTATCCTTTTTTAAATTTTTGTTTTTAATTTAGAAAATGTATTTAATTCTCAAAACAATCCTATCAGGTAGGTCTATGATTATTCCCATTTTACAGATGAGGAAACTGAGGAAGAGAGAGGTTAAATGACTTCCCCAAAGCCACACTACTAGTGCGAGCTCCAGTCCATTCTCTTAACTTCTATGCTGTATTGATCTTTGCAAACACTAGGCTTGAAGGCAGAACAAAGTGTTTTAGTTCCACCCTTGCAGGGTTATATAACCAATAGAAGACACATTAGGCAAATGCCCAGGAAGCCAAAGTTTCCCACGCTCATGGCTCCAATAGTTTCCCTTTCAAATGCATTGCCCAGCTATCCTCTAGGCTAATCCACTATGGTAGCCAAACTCATTTTTATTTTGGTTAAATCACGGCACTTCTCTATGCCTCAGTGTTCCCACTTTGTGAAATAGGATAAATCAGATTTACCTTTTTCTACCACCTATAGGTCTGTGCTGACCATAGAATAGCCACTAGCTTCATATAGCTATTGAGCACTTGAAATGTGTCTAGTATGAACTGAGATGTGCTTTAAGTATAAAATAGATAACAGATTTTAAAAACTTAGTGCAAGAAAAAGAATGTAAAATATTTCATTAATAATGTTTATACTGATTATAGTTCAAAAATATTTTGAATATATTGGGTTAATGTGGGTTACTTTATAATTGGGTTACTTTAATGTGGCATCTAGAGAGTTTAAAATTAAATATGTGGCCTGTATTATATTTCTATTGAACAGTGCTGCCTGAGATGATAATCCTGATTGAAAGTCAATTTGTCTTTTCCTTTCCTTTGTTACCAGGGCAACAGGGAGGAAGCTGACAACCCAAATACAGGGATTGGTGCCTTCCGATTCATGTTGGAATCCAACAAGGGCAAGTCAATGTTGGAGTTCCAGGTACTGTTCTTCTGGCTCTAATAACATGGGTCAGCTGCAACTACATATATAATACCTCCTACTAATCCCTGATTCATTGATTCTGGAAAGGAAGGGAAAGAAGGTTGTTAGAATATTTTTCAAAATATAAATACCTTCCTTCCCCCAAGGGCGTATCAGAGTGATGAGAAATGCTTCCACAAATTCATTTTGTAAAAGATTTCCTGTGTAATTCTGATGCAACTTCTCAACATAAAATCACTGTCCTGTTACTTCATATCTTCTTCCCCTAGGAGCTAATGACAGTTTTTCAACTGCTGCACTGGAATGGCAGCCTTAAGGCCATGAGGGAAAGACAGTGCTCTCGTCAGGTAAGAGATCTTATGAGTTGGCGGGTAGGGAGGAGTCCGGCAGAAAACTATTTTGAGGTGGCTGCTGTGTTAGAAATAAACAGGCCTATGGTTACCAGGTTGTGAAAATGGAAAGTATCCTCTCCACTCCTATAATCTTTCCCATTTCATTCTTAACTGTGATTCTTTTGCCTGTCTTACTTTCCATACCAGAAAGTTTCCTTAAGAATCTCCTTGAAAGACTTATGTGCTGACCTCAGTTAGGTCTCCAAGGCTAAGAGTTCTTAGTCCCAGATGGGTCAATGTGGTATGATATGAACCATTACCCTCTCAGTGATCTTCACGTTCCCCTCCCCCACTAGGAAGTGTTGGCTCATTATTCACACCGGGCCCTGGATGATGATATTCGCCACCAAATGGCCTTGGACTGGGTGAGCAGGGAGCAGACTGTACCGGGGGCACTGTCTAGAGAGCTGGCCTCCACCGAGCGAGAGCTGGATGAAGCCCGATTGGCAGGCAAGGAGCTGCGCTTCCACAAGGAGAAGAAAGATATTCTCATGCTGGCTGCTGGGCAGTTGGGCAATATGCATTCTTCCAACTGCTAGGCATCCACCCACATACTCCCCATCCTCACCAGGCCTTTTTGTATGTCTCCTTTCTAAGACGTAGGATGATTTCTGTACATATTTTCTCAATTTTATACTTTAAAATATAGATATATATGTGTAAATTCTATACCTGGATTCCTATTTGCTAAGAGATCCCTTTTCTTACTTCCAGTTTTTGGATGTAATTTCATTTGAAACATCTTCACTCTACTTTACAAGAAAGAGCAAGCTGTTTTTGGAGCTCTGCTAGCTCTTAAACTTCCCGGCTAACTCTGTGTAGTCATTTCAGTAGCACAATATGATTGACTAAGTGTTCCTGTCTCCTTCTTTTAAAATAACAGGTAGAGGCCGGGTGTGGTGGCTCACGCCTGTAATCCTAGCACTCTGGGAGGCTGAGGCAGGTGGATCATTTGAGCTCAGGAGTTCCAGACTAGCCTGAGCAAGAGCGAGACCCTGTCTCTACTAAAATAGAAAGAAATTAGCTGGACAATTAAAAATATATAGAAAAAAAATTAGCCGGGCATGGTGGTACATGCCTATAGTCCCAGCTACTCGCGAGGCTGAGGCAGAAGGATCGCTTGAGCCCAGGAGTTTGAGGTTGCTGTGAGCTAGGCTGATGCCATGGCACTCTGGCCCGGGCAACAGAGTGAGACTCTGTCTCAAAAATAAATAAATAAATAAATAAATAAATAGAATAACAGGTAGAGTGAATAAGGACTATGTGCCCCACCTTCACTTTATTCCTGCTTTCTCTCGGATTCAAACAGGGTATGAGTATGAAGCCTTTGGCTTTAGTTTATCTTGAGCCAAACCTGCTTGGTATCCCTTCCCTCCCTATCACTACATTACTCCTCTGCTTCCAAATGCCACTTTGTTTTGAGGCTTCCCTATCTTATTATTGCAAAGGAAGCAGAGATCTGGTTTCTTATTTCCCCCCTCCCCCTTCACCTGGTTTCTTATTTTTAAATCACTCCTAAGAAACTGCCCAGGAATTCATGGGAGTTTACTATCTAAGTTGCTTCTGGGGCGTATCTGTACCATACCAGTAGTCCAGGTTTCCAGATGCACTCTACAGTAAGAAGGGGGTCAGGGTTGAAGCTGATTATCTTTCAATATTCCCTTTTCATTTATCCCCTGCTCTCCCAACTTAGTTAAACCCTGTATTTAGACCTTCCTGCCTACATAGACTAATAGAAGGTAAAACATTTTTCCCTCCTTTCCATCTTCCATCATTTTGCTTTTGGAAGTGTTAATGGTCCTACTTGGTGAGTGAGGGCCATGTTCCTCTCACTCCCACTAAGCTGCTGCTGTTTACTACCTTAAATGTACATACCTTAGAATCTCATTTCTTTCTTTTCTTTCCTCTTCCTCCAAATTGATTAGAGCATGAGTTGATCAGGAAAATTAGATGAGACTTTAGTATTATTACAGCACTTCCTAACCGGAACCTTGGGAGACTGCAGGAGAGGAAAGAGAATGAATGATTAGCTATTTGTGTTTCTAATACCATTCTCCTCCCCAACCTCTCTCCTCAGTGAGGTAAGAGAGAAATAACCTGTAGTACAGCTAAAGCATTCTCCTTTTGGAGAATTTTTTGGTAGTTTCTCTAAGATATATTTTCCTCTTGTTTCTGTGATCTCTTTATTATTGCTCAGTACACTTTCTAAACTGAGCTTGAGACGTTTAATGCTCTTGCAGTTGGACTTTCCATTTAACAAATATACAGACTTTACTTTTAGAATAGATTAGGAAACAGGTCACAATTTGCTCTTTTGGATTAGATAGGGACAAAATGAAAGGCAGATTTCTTGCTTTTGAAATCATCTTGGTGACCAGTACATATGGATCAGAGGTAAGGAGTCCAGCTACAATTATATTAGTGCTTGAGAGGGGCTTCCTTGAATTCTCCAAGCCTCATCTTTGTATTCCATGAAGCACATGTAGGTTTGGAGTACAGGATCTTACATTAAATAATAGATGCATCTATCTGTTTTTATTGGTATTTATAACTCAGAAATCATAAACACTCCTGTTTTCCTATGCTACTTTCTCTGGGAAGAAGTGCTAAGGGGTATGAGTTGTGGGAAGAATTGTCCTTGCACCTCCTTATTATTTTTTTCACATACCACTCAGTAGAATCCCAAGGAACTTGAGAAAAATTGTGCCCTGAACTGTCCACTTTTGGTGTCAAAGATTTTACTTATCTTTTTGTATTTTACGTGTATAATTTTATACAATTAAAAATAGATTTTTGTCTAGTGAGCCAGATTGATTGTTTCTTGAGACCTATGTATCAGAAGAGCTGTAAAATGCCTCTTTTTTTTTTACATATGTACTAGAAAAGAATTATTAGTATTTGGGGGATGGTAGAAATAAGATTGTACTGCTGGGGAGAGGAAACCTGTCTCCCCTTCTCCAGATATTTAAGGAACCTGGATTTTGTCCTCAGTCCTTTCTCCTCAAGCTCTACCCATTCCTACTGGCTGTCTCACCCACTATGGTGACTTAAACTCCACTATACACATGATTTTCAAACCTATTTCTTCCACCCCAACCTGTTTTGAGTTTTTACATCCATATTTCCACATACTGGATATTACCACCTGAACATGACAGAAGCACATTGAACTCATATATTCAAAATAAAATCCATTTCTCCATACTTGTTCCTCTTTAACTCCTTAGATCTATTATTGGAATTATTCATTATGTAAATCAGAAATCTCAGATCCATCCTCAACTCTTCTTTATTATCCTCTAGTCACTTACTGTTGAGTCAGCCTTCTATATAAACTGCTTAATCCGGCAGTCCCAACCGTTTTTTTCCACAGACTGGGGTGGGGGGGTGGGGGTTTCGGGATGATTCAAGCACATTACATTTATTGTGCATTTTATTTGTTATTATTACATTATAATATATAATGAAATAATTATGCAACTCACCATAGTTTGGGGACCCCTGTCCTAATCTGTTTTGTCCATATTTACTGCCTTAGTTCAAGTTCAGTCCTTTCTTGTCTCTAGATTGGACCACTGCTGCAACAGCTTCCTAACTGGTTTTTGCTTCCTTTATTAACATCCTTCATAATACTGTCATTTTTTTTTTTTTTTTTTTTGAGACAGAGTCTCACTCTGTTGCCCGGGCTAGAGTGAGTGCCGTGGCATCAGCCTAGCTCACACCAACCTCACACTCCTGGGCTCAAGCGATCCTTCTGTCTCAGCCTCCCGAGTAGCTGGGACTACAGGCATGCGCCACCACGCCTGGCTAATTTTTTCTATATATATTTTTAGTTGTCCAGATAATTTCTTTCTATTTTTAGTAGAGACGGGGTCTCGCTCTTGCTCAGGCTGGTCTCGAACTCCTGAGCTCAAACGATCCGCCGACCTCGGCCTCCCAGAGTGCTAGGATTACAGGCGTGAGCCACCACGCCCGGCCATACTGTCATATTTTTTTATAAAATACTTATGACTGTGCCACTCCCTTGCTTAAACCATCACTTAACTATTTTTACCTTTAGCAGCATTTCCTAGTTTCATATGTGAACCCTTGAGGTTACCTCAGATGATTTTAGGTAGCAGATGGACGAACTTTTAAAATTCTTAATAGTTTGCTTTTATTTGAATTTGTAGCAGAAAAATATCGGTTTTCCATTTATGGAGTATTAAAATTTCTTTTTAATGTAAATTTATGCTTAAAAAGTCAGTCTATTTAAAGAAAAATAATAACCAAAAAATAGTATGGGGACCATTTGCAAATGTCAAAAATCAGAAATACTCAAATATTTGAAGTAGAGAAATTTCTTACCTATAGGATAAATTTCAAAATCCTTATCATGGCAATTTGACGCTGAACTATATTTCTAGCTTTATTTCCTAGTCACATAGTGTCAGATATATAGAATGTCTTGCCATCCCGATATTCACTCATTCAGTAAGTATTTTACCAAGTGTCTACTATGAGCCAGGCACTGGGCTAAACTTTGGGGATATAGTTGTAAATACGCCTCTCTGCCATAAGTATTACCTTCTAATGGGAAAAACAGACAAAAAACAAGTTAGAAAGTAAACAAGATAATTAAAGATTCTGATTTAAGTTCTGTGAAGGAAATAAACAAGAGTGAAGGACAGGAGGGTAGAGAAGACCCCTTTGTACTGATTTTTTTTTTTTTTTTGAGACAGAGTCTGGGCTCTGTTGCCCCGGCTAGAGTGCCGTGGCGTCAGCCTAGCTCATAGTAACCTCAAACTTCTGGGCTCAAGCGATCCTCCTGCCTCAGCCTCCCGGGTAGCTGTGACTACAGGCACCCACCACCATGCCCGGCTAATTTTTTTTTCTATATATATTTTCAGTTGTCCAGATAATTTCTTTCTATTTTTAGTAGATATGGGGTCTTGCTCTTGCTCAGGCTGGTCTTGAACTCCTGACCTCGAGCGATCCTCCTGCCTTGGCCTCCCAGAGTGCCAGGATTACAGGCGTGAGCCACCGCACCGTGCAGAGAAGACCCCTTTGGATGATAGTACTATTGAGAGCTAAAAGGATAACGTTGAACCAGACATGTGAAAAGCTGGAGGAAGAGCATCAGGAACAGAAAGCTGCAAAAGTCAAGATGAGAAAGTACACCTAAACCATGGTTGAGGGAAAGTATAGGGAGAGCTAAATGGGTGAGGGGGAAAAATGGGGGTTGAAGACGTTGAAGACATAGGCAGAGCAGGCTGTGTGAGCTGGAATTTTACTCTAAGTGCAACAAAAAGTCAAGGAAAGAGCCAGTTATGGTGGCACATGCCTGTAGTCCCAGCTACTCAGGAGGCTGAGGCAGGAGGATTGCTTGAGCCCCAGATTTGTTGCCATCCTGGGCACCACAGTAGTACCCTATCTCTAAAAATGAAACAAAACAAAACATAAAATGTCAAGGAAGGGTTTTTATAGGTATATGACCAACTGATTTTTAAAATAATCACAGTACCTACTGTGGAGTAGTCTCAGTACAACTGCTTTGCCTGGAAAACTACTTAACCTCAAAGTCCCAGTTCAAATGCAAAGCACCCCCTCCTCCTGAATAGTCCTGGAAACTTTCTTTGTACTGACATAGCACTTTATGGTATAGTGTAATTATAAAGTGAGTGTTGATAATGCAATTATTTGTCTTTGTATTACCAGTATTAACTAAAAATATATATATATTAACGAGTTTTATATTTTGAAAAAAGGAGAGCTTTATTTCTCATAAAGGCTAGCAACCTGCTGGGGCAGCCATTCCAACAGGTTGGGAAGCAGGGGCCCAGGCGAGAAGCCAGGCACACATACCTCAAAGAAAGGACAAAAGGCAACAGGGTTTTACACTGAACAGGGTGGTCAAATATACATATTTAACAAGCTATAGAAGGAGTAGGAGTCACGAATATTTATGGAGGGAAATCATACACATGTAATTCTGCTCTCCCATCCCCTCATCGCTGGGAACTCAGTTTTAGGGTTTCTGGGGCCCCCCTGGGCAAGAGGGGTCCATTCAGTTAGCAGAGGGCTTAAGGTTTTTTTAGTTCACACCAGCAACTCCTCTAATATTAGACACACATATAGGCATTCAGAACTGTTTAATAATTTCATAAATGAATCCACAGTCCACTGTTAATGAACAGGATTCCAGAATTTGGAATCGTTACGGGTTTTGCCTCAACTCCTAGGTTTTCAAACGTGAAACATCTTTACCATCTTCAAAAAAGCTAAAGCCCCTATTTTGTTTAAGGCTATGACTTTTTTTTTTTTTTAATTCTCAATGGCAGTAGGAAGAGGTTGGGAGTTTTATCTTAAAAAAAAATGTTGATATCTGTCTCACCAATCGTATTTCAACGGCAATCACATCTGTTAGTTTCCTTAGCAGAAATTCGGTGCTGCAGTATGTTCCAGAAGCTTTTTGAGCCAGCATTGCTGATCAAACTATTATTAAAAAATCGCTTCTATCATAGATCAGGCTGCTCTTCGAAACAAGGTACAGGCCTAGAAGTTTTAAGAGAAAAAACTTTCTTCAACTTCCATTTCCTAGTTTGAGGTAAAGGGAAAGAAAAGCAACCCTCCAATATAAAGAAATTAGGCCGGGCTTCACCGTTAATAGTACACTATTTCCCATGAGCCACCAGTGTTAAGAGAAAGCCACTGACTCCGTCTATCCCCTAGTTTGACCCTCCCGGATGCATTTAGCTCACGACCTTCTCAAGATGGCTGCAGAAACACTTCCGGCATCTTCCCGAACTAGGCCTGACTCCATATGCGTATTTTCAGCGCGCCGGGGGCGGGGCTTAGCGTTAGCCTCTGATTGGTCAGCTTGACTGGCGACCTTTCCCCTCTGCGACTGTTTCCTGCGGTGCCTAGTTCCTGAGCGGCACAGACGAGAGCTCGATCGAAGGCAAGATGGCGGATGTGCTGGATCTTCACGAGGCTGGGGGCGAGGATTTCGCCATGGATGAGGATGGGGACGGTGAGGACAGCAGAGGCGGCTGCGGGAAGCGGGGAAGGTGCGAGAGAAGGCTGTAATAGAAAAATTTAACCTCCCTTCTCCCCGGCAGGGAGGAGGGCAGCCGGGGAGCCGGGGAACCGGGTCTGTGTAGAATTAGAGGCTCCGCCTCCTTTGGGAGGAATGGGGGCGGGACCGGGAAGGGAATGAGACAGGAGGCGGTGGGGGTCCTCTTTCAGATAGTATCTTGGGAAACAGACAGTTGTTGTAAATGACTCTTGTCATTGTTGCTCATCCTTTTCTCTTCTGGGGCTCTAGAGAGCATTCACAAGCTGAAAGAAAAAGCGAAAAAACGGAAGGGCCGCGGCTTTGGCTCCGGTGAGTGTGGCGAAAATGGGATAGAGTGGTGTTGGAGGGCGGGAACTACGAGTTTTGGAGTCCCCCACCCAATTCAGGAGGAACAGTGAAAGAAACGGAGAGCTTTTGGTGATCTCGTGTATGTCCATTATAGAAGAGGGGTCCCGAGCGCGGATGCGTGAGGATTATGACAGCGTGGAGCAGGATGGCGACGAACCCGGGCCACAACGCTGTGAGTAAAATGGAACCTGTTCGGGCTCTGTGTCTGTAGACAGAGACCAATAAAATAAACCCAATAGGGATGGGTTCAGAGCTAGCGTAGCCAATTTCTGAAGTCTGCGATCCTGATTGAAGTTTTTCTCTTTTGTGCTCATACAACCTCCCTCCTTCCCCAACAGCTGTTGAAGGCTGGATTCTCTTTGTCACTGGAGTCCATGAGGAAGCCACTGAGGAAGACATCCATGACAAATTCGCAGAATATGGGGAAATAAAAAACATTCACCTCAATCTGGACAGGCGAACAGGATACCTGAAGGTATCCTAAATGACATTTCATTAATTCCCTACCCCCATAACCCTTAGACAGCATCGGTAGTTCTCCTATGTTTGGTGTAATTGGCCAAGAGCAAGGTTGAAGTACAGTGACATTGGAAATTGATTTTGTTAGACACAGCAAAGAGACAGACAGAAACAGACATGTCATATATGCAAAAGAGATATGTGCTGTACATTCATTGTTTATATGTTTTTCTATTTAAGTATGAGTTGAGATTTACAGAAGATACTCAATGATGCTTGGTGAAATAGGACGGTTTTGATATTTCTCTTTTCATTTGCCCTAGGGGTATACTCTAGTTGAGTATGAAACATACAAGGAGGCCCAGGCTGCTATGGAGGGACTCAATGGCCAGGATTTGATGGGACAGCCAATCAGTGTTGACTGGTGTTTTGTCCGGGGTCCACCCAAGGGCAAGAGGAGGTAAAGTGGAGAGGGCAAACACTGTTTTGGTGAAGGGTGTATGAGCAAAACAGAATAAGGACATTGTATTGTGTCCCTCTGATGGACTCCTGTCATTTTTTTTCCCCTAGAGGTGGCCGAAGACGCAGCAGGAGTCCAGACCGGAGACGTCGCTGACAGGTCCTCTTGTCCAGGTCTTCTCTCCAAGATTCCATTTGACCATGCAACGTTGGAGAAACAGGGCTGGGGTGGAACTTGCTGTGTTTATATTTAATTCCTTACCCTACCTGCTTAGTGTTTCTTTTGAGTACGAATAAATGTTCCATTTTTGTTTTCTACATTTAAAGTTACTTTCCTGTTCTGACATTGAAAGCTCTGAAGCACTATTTACAGTAAGGCAATATGGATCATTGTGAAGATTCTTCTAGGGACTGAATTCTATGTGAGTTTCTATATTAAATATAGTCTTAAGTGACAGGGTTAATGTAATACTGCTCAGTATTTCTTTTTCTTGGAAGCTAAGAAAGCAGGGGGAAAAGTGAGACATTCTTATGATATTAGAAAATAATTATTCTGTTCCTATGTACTCTGTTTAGAGCAAATGGATGTTATAGGAGTGTCTTCTTTTGTTTCTCTTGCCCTTCTTAATGTCACATTTGTTTGTACTTCCAGCTGTCTAAGGGCTTGAATCTCCTGTTGGGGCATTTTCCCACACTCTCCTTCTCTGGAGGAGTCTGTAGTAAGTCCTTGGTGCCCTCCTCAGCAGCCAAAGGTGAAGGCCCTAAAGAGAAGAGGATCCTAAGGAGCACTGAGGAGGCCAAAGAGGAAAAGGATGTGGCTGAGCCTGGGAGGGACTTCAGTTAGCATGTCAGGTAGAACCAGGACCACAGACCCAGTAGGTAATAACGTGTCCAGCAGAGGACAAAGGTCAGCAAGACAAGCAGGGGCCGGACATGAACATAGGGGCAATTGTCTAAGGAGCAGCAGAGGACAAATTCACTGATGGGGGCTAGGAATTTAGAGAATATACTCAAATTCAGAACCATTCAGCTTCTGAACTGAGTACAGGGTGAGTTGATAGAGGGGCAGAGATCATGAGATGGAGCTCTCCTACAACCATGAGAATGCTGCAAACCCTCTATCCCCTCCCAACCTGGGAATATATGATCTCCTACCACCAGCAATTATGACAGACTCGTTAGAGAAAAGGTTTTGATTAAGGTGCTATTAGGTAAACCCATTAAGTCTATTTGAAGACTTGATGGTGTTCAAGAATAAAGAATACTAAAAACACTAAAGAATAAAAAATACTGGCTGTTGGCTCACACCCGTGATTCCAGCACTCTGAGAAGCCAAGGTGGGAGGATTGCTTGAGGCCAGGAGTTCAAGACTATCCTGAGCAAGAGTGAGACTTTGTCTCTACAAAAAATAGAAAAATTAGCCGGGTGTGATGGCATGCACCTGTAGGGCAGCTGCTTGGGAGGCTGAGGCAGGAGAATCACTTGAGCCTGGGAGTTTGAGGTTGCAGTGAGCTGTGATGATGCCACTGTACTCTAGCCTGGGTGACAGAGTGAGACTCTCTCAAAAGATAAAAAAAAAGAATACTGATCACCTTTGTCTCTAATTCTTGCCCAGCTAACTCAGCTTAGCTAGAAGCTGTTTAGAATAGAAGGCATTCAATAGCATTACCTCCAGCATCAGGTGCAAAAGATATGGCTAGGTTCTCACTTTAGTTTAGTGACTGATGGCTATCAGATAGGTAGATAAATTGTGCTACAGGGAATAGTTCTCTGGGAATTGGGAGTCTCACCATGGCTCCCCTTCCTTATTTGGGGACTAGATACACTGAGGACTGTGACTATAGCGGATGGCCATGGCTGTCAGTGATAGCAGAAAGTGAAGAGGTTATAGGTGGTTTCTTGCTATTGAGCATTTTTTATTTTTTTTCTTGAGACAGAGTCTGGCTTTGTTGCCCGCACTAGAATGAGTGCCGTGGCATGAGCCTAGCTCACAGCAACCTCAAACTCCTATGCTCAAGTGATCCTCCTGCTTCAGCTTCCTCAGTAGCTGGGACTATATGCATGAGCCACTATGCCCGGCTAATTTTTTGTTTCTCTTTTTAGTTAACTGGCTAATTTTTTTTTCTATTTTTAGTAGAGATGGGGTCTTGCTCTTGCTCAGGCTGGTCTCGAACTGCTGACCTCAAGTGATCCTCCTGCGTTGGCCTTCCAAGAGTGCTAGGATTACAAGCGTGAGCCACCATGCCCGGCCTGTTATTGAGCCTTGAAGCTGCCTTTGGTGACACACTGAGTGAAGGCACTGGGCCAGCTCGGTGGACAGTGTGGAATAGGAACAGCTGGAGTGGAGTTGAGGACTATTAAAAGTGATTCCCCCAACCTTCCCACCTATGTCATACTGTCTCTTCCCAATTCATCCTTAACTCCAGGTGGAGCAGTGCAGTGGTAACTAATAATTCATCCACGGTGCCATTTTAGACAAGTTAGAAATATATCTTGAAAATGTCTTATCTTTTTAGGCTTGACTATGATGCTGAGCAAAAGTTTCTTAAATCCTGGAACTTAAAAGGATCCTGCCTTCTCAAGTACTGTTCTAACATTACACTTTATGAAAGTATGATATTTTGGCCAGGCGTGGTGGCTCATGCCTGTAATCCTAGCACTCTGGGAGGCCGAGGTGGGAGGATTGCTTGAGCTCAGGAGTTGGGAGACCAGCCTGAGCAAGAGTGAGACCCCATCTCTACTAAAAATAGAAAAATTAGCCGGGCGTCATGGGGCGCACCTGTCTTCCCAGCTACTCAGGACTCGAAGGAGGATCACTTGAGCCCAGGAGTTGCAGGTTGCAGTGAGCTACAATGATGCCACTGTACGCTACCCAGGGTGACAGAGTGAGACTACCAAAAAAAAATGATATTTATGATATTTCTACCACCTCACCCACATTTTTAGCTGAAATGATTTTCCTGATACATATGTGATAAATTTTGTGGAAAAAGAAATCTTGTATAAAATGGGTGCTGATGGGCCCAGTGTGGTGGCTCGTGCCTATAATCCTAGCACTCTGGGAGGCTGAGGTGGGAGGATCACTTGAGCTCAGGAGTTTGAGACCAGCCTGGGCAACAGCGTGAGACCCTGTCTCTGCTAAAAATAGAAATTAGCCAGGCGTTGTAGCGGTCACCTGTAGTCCCAGGTACTTGGGAGGCTGAGGCAGGCAGATCACTTGAGCCCAGGAGTTTGAGGTTGCAGTGAGCTATGATGACACCATTGTACTCTACCCAGGGTGACAGAGAGACTCTGTCTCAAATAAATAAATAAAATGGGTGCTGCTAAATCCCAGGCCATTTTGCAGCCACTTTGAAGTGACCTTTTGTAGTAATAGTTTTATGTATAATAACCAAAACTGTCATGGTGAAACAATGATAAATAATAAAATTTAACATTTAAAAGATGCTGTTGCCTGCCTCATCTCCTTTTTGGTAAGTTACTGGGTTTTCAGATTGAATCAGTAAAGACTATTTTTCAGTTTAGAGCTGGCAGGGTTACAGTGCCTTGGTTCCAGTAATGTAGATTGAGTCACTATTCGTTTGTTAAAAGGCAAGCTCATTAGATACCAGATTCCTAGATACAAGGCATTTGGGAAAGTGATTTTAGCAGGGGTGAGGGACTTTTAGGAAAGGTGAATAATATCAGCCAAAGACTAAATTTTATGAACTGCTTGGAGTTATGATTAGGCTACTCTGAGCTAGTTGGGGAGTGGTCTTTCTCCTTCCCATCTTGTTGCATCCATATATTTCTGGGTGTTTCCCTCCCCACCCTCTGCTGTGACTTGAAATACTTGAGTATTGTGAGAAGGAGTATAAAATAGTCAAAACTCTTGGACTTACAGTTTGGTCCATAGCCTTGCTTCTCCTATTTTACATGCCAGTTACCACCTACTGTAGAAACACTCCTTTCAACTACCGATAACTTGGAAACTTGAGCCTACAAAAATAAGTAGTTTCTAACTACTTATAATACTCCTTCACCACACTAACATCACGCTATTTAAAAAAAATTTATTGACGCTAATATTGTAAATACAGTTAGAGCACATGGACAATGCAAAATTTATCCAAAAGGACACTAATTTGGAAGCCAGTTTGCCATTGAAACAGATTGCAATTGTCAGATTGTTGAGCTGTAAGAAAGGATAAAATTCATCTCCTATTCCATCATCTTGTGGCCCATGCTTAGCCAAAGTCACATTGCTAGTTAGTGATAGAGCCTAGACTCAAAAAAAAGTAAAACAGGCAAACAATGCAACAAAAATAGTCTTCTACTTCCCGGGCCATATCTAAAATTTGCTTCATATAAACAAACCCAACTGTAATTCCTATTGCACTGTGGCAACAGGTTTCTTTTTAACACTTTGAGTGGTAGAGGTCCTGTTTGCAACATATTGTTGGAAGCAGTATATATTTTTTTTGTCCTTAGAACTGTAGTCAAACTTTTTTTTTTTTAAAGACATTCTGTGGCCAAGGCTGGAGTGCAGTGGCATGATCATAGTTCACTGCAGCCTTGAACTCCTGGGTTTATGTAATCCTCCTGCCTTGGCCTCCAGAGTCACTGGAATTACAGGTGTGAACCACCGTGCCCAGTTTATAGTCAAAGAAACTTTCAGTAAATTTTTAATAATTTAGGATTTAAGGATCGAATCTTAAATCTGACTCTAATGCATTATCATTTCAGAGACTGAAATCGTAGGCCATTCTTGGGCTCCTTCCATAGACATAATCATCCTATAGTCTCAGAGATTCTGCTTTATTTGGTTCCCCTTTCCCCATGGTAGTGGTAGTGGTAGTGGTTTTTGTTTTGAAGTAATTATTTTGTATTTAGCTTTTTTCTAGATTTCTGGATCCTTTTCAATATTGAGGTTTGATTAACCTGGTACTCAAGTTCAGATACTCCCTTGTTTGCAGTTTGGTACCCATTCCACAATAAAGCCAGAGGAGAAAAATACAAACCTGATTATGTTACTCTCCTCCTTTTACTTTAGTATCTCCTCACTGCCCTTGGGATAAAGTACAAATTCGTATTTGTGATCTGGCCCTTTCCCCTCATGGCTCATTACTCACCATTTTCTAGTCCTCAACTTTAGCAACAACCATTTTTAGATCCTCTACTTTCCATATTCCCCAGCATTTCTCCTACTTTAATTTGTCTATTTTTCAAGAATCAAATTTTAATTTTTATTTATTTATTTAGAGACAGGGTCTTGCTTTGTTGCCCAGGCTGGAGTGCACTGGTTTGATCACAGCTCACTGTTAACTTTGAACTCCTGGGC